AAGCTTCAAGATTCCCAAAATTGACAAGCTTCATTATTTTTCTTTTATTTTTAACATTAAAAACAACATCAACGAAAATATTTTCTACGAAATTCATTATTTAGAGATAGTTCGAGTGACATTTTTTTCAGTCGTATTCAAAATCTTATAAATCTGAGAAAATCAACGTTTTCTGTCCAGATTTTATTTTTAGGACTTTTTAATTTCAGAGCTTTCGAGCCTTTTTCTTGATCTCCATCTCGCTCTCTGTGTTCATCGTTCTCTTTCGATTTCTTTCCTTTTTGCCAAAGTAGAAGTTTCAATTTCATTTATCGTTTCATATATATCTTTCCCTTGTATCGTGTTAAAGTATTACGGCTACTTTGCAATATATTTATTGATTGTATCCCAAAAATCAAACTCAATTTTAATAAATGTTTGGAACCAATAGAAAATGCAACAACACTACAAAACAGATGAGAACAGAGGATCAAAATTAATCTTTCAAACATGCGGAGAAGACCGGATCGACGTCCTGAAAAGCGAGAATTTCTAGTTGCCTTGAAAAAGCAAGATTTTCATGAGTTTTGTGGATTGAACGAGAGAAAGTCTCGTTTAACCCAAGAAGAAATGAGAATAAAGTGGCTTCAAGTTCCTTGACTCACCACATTTCTGCGCTCATGATGTAGACGACGTTTGGCTTGGCGAATCCGTTGAAAGTTGTGGCGGCGGCGCTCGTGTAGGCTCCCATGTTGGAGTAGTAGATCCAGTCGCCGATCTCCATTTTCGGCATCATCTTCTTCGTCTGCAGCTTCGCATTGAAAATTATCTATCTCTACAATTTTTCAACCTCAATCATATCAAGGCTGTCACAAGTCGGTCCCCAGATGGTCGTGATATAGTTCGCTCCTCCGGTTGACTGGAAACAGTCGGAACGTTTTTGGACCTGATCAGAAAACTTACAAAAAGAGGTTCTCCCGACGGGTGCACGTGATCGAAAAGGATGCAGTTGAACGAGCCGTAGACTCCGTCATTCAAGTAATACATGTACCCCACTCTCTCATCTTTCTCTAAGAAATGAAGAGCTGGTTAAGATTTCGAGAAATCAAGACGAACCGTTTTTCGTGATTTTGAAAGCAGGTACTTGGGTAGCGTGAAGGACGTTAGTAACCAAAGAAAAGGTTCCGGCCGCGAAGTACCTGATATTTCTTTGACGAAGAGTTTATAGAGGCGAGCACTACCTTCCTGGTTCAGCTACAATTCGCACAGAAGAGTCCTCGAAAAACTCGTCAAGTGCGTTTCGGATGACTTGGGCGATCTTTTCAAACGGTAAATGGTGCTCGGCTCCTGGAAAACCGCCTCCCAAGTCAACCATCCTCATGTTGAAGCCCAGTCCTTCTCCTAAAACTCAGCTGTTTCGAAGCATTTCAAGCGAAAACGGACCTATTTCAAAGATATTCTTTGTATGCTGTAGCGCTAGTCGATATGCGTTGGCGTCGTTGCACCCGGATCCGACGTGGAAACTGACGCCGATCACGTCTACGCCCAGTTCCGCTGCTCTTTTCAGCAGCTTCGGAGCCACCAGCTCAGGATCGCACCCGAATTTGAGGTTCAATGGACAAGTGGCCGTTGGGTCCGACACGGCTATACGCAGAATCATTCTGAAGTTCATTTTCGGATCGAAAAACTTTCCATCGGACTAACTGCGCAGTTGGATGCAACATAGAGATTTTCAACAGCTCTTCGGCGTTGTCGAACGTCATCATTCGGACCTAAAATTTGTATGAATTTCCTTTTCAAGCCAGCTCACTTCTTTTTCTTTGGCGTGCGTGATGAAGCTGCGCGTCTTGCACGGGTTGGCGTAGATTATCCTGTCGGCTGACACGCCCATCTTCATCACCTGAGTAGCTTTCTTTTTCGATTTCAAGGCACCGAAAATCCTCACGATGTCTATCTCTTCTCTGCTGGCACAATCGAATCCTGTGCCCAAGGCAGCCAGACAGCGGACCAGCACAGGGTCCGTGTTACATTTGACGGCGTAGAACGGCTGATTACCGACTGTTCAGAAAAAAACTAACGTTTCCTCTCTCACCTCTATCATTGGGAGCTCCTTCTTCCAAAGGTTGAAGCGGTCGACAATGTGGTCGAGGTCAGCTACCATAAACGCATCATCACAATTCTGGAACATTCTTCTTAACATTTTAATCGATCCGCTTAATTGTTTTTCATCACTTCTCATTCTTTCTCTGAAGTTCCAGTTCTTCAAGTTTCCTCTGACTGAAATCGCAACATTTGAATTACCTGTAAATCAAGGCTGGTGGCGAGTTGACGCGCAAGTGCCAAGGAATTGACTCTTTTTGGAAGGATGCCAACTTTGTCATCTCCCACGAGCTCTCTTTGGGGGATTACGGTTGTAGTTCCAGTCATATCGTGATCGGCGGGCAGTTTGAGTTGGCGGTTTTAGGAAAACCAAGGCGGAGCTCCGGATATAGATCTGTCGTAGAGGTACGAGAGGTACTCGATGAAGGTGTCGCTCGGGCGGACGAGGATCACCTGAGCAGAAATGAGCTGTGAAGCTTCCTGACTCTCCTCACCTTAAGATTGGCTGCGGCCTGCGCTAGCCCGTCTTCTGCGACAATTCGACTGATTTTCTGGCAGTTGGTTGTCCCGAGATCGAACCTACGCTGTCTGCAAGTGCACTCAGAACACTTGCAACAGCGAAAGCCTGAAAGTCGTGCGCTATCGAAACATTTTAGATTTGAGCTGAAGGTCGGGACAAAAGACAAACATACAAGCTGAATGACTTCCTAAACAGACACGATAAAAAGAAGGCAAAGGACGAGGAAATCGGTCGAAATGGCGTGGAAAGGGCCTAATATGGACAGTTCGGCAGACTCCTCCCCTTTGTCTGTCTACGTCAACGGTTACGGTCATTTCATGATTCATCTCCAAATTTGGCGAACTTTTCATGTTTGTCGAATCGGTTGTTCAATTTCTCGGCTTAAAACGGAACGATCATGTTTCTACAAGCCTTTCGACTCATTTTCATTGGTCAGAAAAAGAAATCGCTAAAATGGTTCCTACCCTCTTTTCAGTTTTTCCTAATCTGATTTTTTGAGAGGAAATCAATGTTGACTAACTTCAAAAGTGTTTTAATAACTGAAAAAAAGTTGAGTTGGAGAGATAAGAAAACTGTGGAGTTTCAGTTTGATCTATTATTCAACCGAGGCCGATTTATGAATTTATGAATAGACTCGCTACAGTTGAAAGCCTTCTTGAACGCAAAAAATAAACTGCTAAATTTTTAAAAAAGTAAAGTACTAGAAAAGACCGATAACAAGACAGACGAAAGTGGTCTGATGGAAGGGGTCGAGTGCAGACGCACTTTGGGTCCTATCGGTATTGCCCGACCTGAGGACCGCCCTTCGTCCGCTGACCATCATATTCTCCCACGCTTTGCCATTTGGCTGCGTACAAGGCGAGTGATCGACAACGCTCAGAGAGTCCCAGACGCTCCTACTGTAGCCGAAGTTGGTTAAGGTTTAAAAAAAACTATGAAGAAGTATAACCTTCTCTCAAGACTTCTTTCTAAAAGATGAACATTCAAATTCAAATAAAAAAATTGGAAAAAGGTTTTTGTTAAAAATCTAATTTCTCTCAAAAAGCACGAAGCTTTACAAAAGTAACACCGTGTAGTGAATCAAAAAAGCCTGTGAATTTCTCTTTCACTTGAAAATAAAAGTGTTTTCGCATCGAGAATGAATAGTTTACGGCCCTTTGAGGAAGATACCTCACCCATGAAGCCTCTTGCCGCCTTCAAAACAGTTCTCGAAACTCCAAATGATGAAAACTCTCCAAATATTCTTCAAATTTACACTTTCTATGGATCATTTCTGATGTAAACTATTTTGAACGTTCCTTTGAATAAAAAGAAACTCAAAAAAAGTATGTTTCCATTTTTGAGAGAATTTTCTGCTTGTTTGCCAATTATCAGTTTGATGCTTATCTTTGTCCTTCATATAGAATGAAAACGCCACAAAATGCAAAGAACAAAATTTTTTCACGTGAATAATCATATTTCTAAATTTGATCTCAAACAAACAAAAAACTGACGTCATGTGTCCAAAGCGCACAGAAGAGGCCAACAAATCAGTTATAGCGCCCCGATTTGACATTGATACACCCACTCGGCATAATTTCCTCTTCTGACCGGTCAATCATTTGCTCAAAATGTATCTTATGAGACAAAATTTATCCATCGCACTTTAAAAAAAGATAAAATTAAAGGCACATACGTACAATGACGAATCGTTCGTAACTGTGAAAGAAAAGGTAACCTGAATAAATAGTGTGAAAGCGGGCAGATACAGTCAGCTACCACTAACGAAACATTACAAAACCTATAACATAATAGATATCGAGGCTTGTATCAATGGGCAATGCTACCCGCTACCATTTTTTGATGAGCAATGAGTATTGAGAAATAAAATTCAAAATAAAAATTAAAGTCTCTAAGACTGTAGAAGTTGATCTTCGTACTGTTTGACGAAACATTCGCCGACGGGGAAGAAGTCCCAATCGCTGAAATTGGCATATAACGAAGGCTTGAAAATTCAACCCACCGATTGTCGTACTTTTCACGGACGTAAGTTTCTTGACCTGTGTATTCAGTTTCGTCCTTGTTAACGAGATGTTGCAGGAAGAACCTCCAATACACATAATAACTAATTTTTTGATTTTTTTTTCATTTCTGCTCATTCGCTAATTTATCGATTTTTTTTTGGCAAGCCAAGGTGAAACAAAACTCACAAATAGTTGGCGAAATTGTGTTCCTTGGTGGTGTGAATCTCGAACCCACGAGGCAGCCTGTCGAAAGTCTCCTTGCCGATGTCGCAGACAAAACAGGAAGATTCGAGTTTCTCCGTGGCACTCTCTTGCTGGTCACGCAGCTCTCCGAACGCGTCGATGATCAAACCTGAGCGTCAAGACAAAGTAAGTCGACTGAAGATGCAAGAGTACCTTGCATGATAGCCAACAAGATAATGATAACGAAGAAGAAGAAAGAGACGTCGTAGAGCATTCGCGGGTACTCGAGTTCGTCGCCGTAGGGCGATTCCAACTCGTCTCCGATACCACCTCCCGCACGCACTCCGGCGTAGAAATGGTAAATGAAGCACTGGAAAATATTATATAAGTAAATTGCCGCATTTGACGCTAATGGTTTTACGCACCAAAAGTACTCTAGAACGCGCAAAAAGAAAACTTTGAATTTTTTCAGTATTATCTGAAAAAAAGTTAATAAATTTTTTAAAGTTCTTCAGCCGGCACCACCATTTTTTATGAAAGCTCTGTGTGGCAAGATGAAATGTAGCAGAAGTAACAATAAAAAATTTTAATTTTGAGTTTGCCGTAAAGGGCGGTTTTTTCAATTATTTTTCAGAACTGCGTACAGTGAGCATGTTGTGACACTTGCGGTCGGGCTCCTCGCCGTCCTCTCCTTCCTGAACGTAGAACTTGCGGAAGAAGTTGAAGGCAATCACTGTGTACAGATACACAACCACCAACGTCATCATGATGGTCAAAATGAGCTGCAAATTGAAACGAACTCATCAGACACGCGTGAGTCCGAACCAACCTGTTTCATGTTGTGAGTGACCGACTGCAGGATGGCTTTGAGCATAGGGAAAGAGAGCACGACGTCGATGAGGTGGAAAGCGTAGAAAAAGGGTGACAAGAAGACACCTGAAAGAAGAGACTCCGTGATATGTAAAGTGAGTAAATAAGTAGAAATCGGTGTTCAGGTGAGCTGCGCCAAGGGAGTTCTCTCGAAAAACGTTTTTTTTCCTAACAGGGGACCCAACACTAAGCCAAAAAATGTGCTCAACGAGTGAAACTTTTGTTATCAGGATCTGAAACCTTGTTTTCATACACCTCGGGCACACTACGCCGCCGAAAAATTCAAAAGTTGTTTCTTATAACTTTTCCGTGTTATTTTATTTTTTGAACGAGTTCGGACTCTCTTTTTTTTTGCGACCATATATGGACAAACTAACCACAAGCAGAGCAGAGGAAGTAGCCGACACGGTAGAGGAACTGGCCATTAGTGAGAATCACCGCGAGCATAAGCCAACAATTGTATCTGCATTCGCAGATCATCTTTTTTTCTCGTTTTTTTTCTTCCTACCGATAATCAATGCTCGTGTCTGTGGAAATCTTTTCTTCGCCCAAAATCGAAACCAAAGTTTCGTCATCGACTTGATCTTTGAACTTTTGACGGGTTTTTCGACGGACAAACTTGTCCCAGTACATGTCTGGGAAAGACTTGGAAGAAATGACGATTCGATCGAGGTACCTGCAAAAAACAGATTCAAAATAATTATCCTCGAGTAGAGCAGATGCAGAACCGACCACATGCACATGTCGACGATTCCCAGCTCCTCGTTGTCGTCCTCAGTAATCCAACAGCCGTCGAACATCAACTTTCTTGCCACTTCCTTCTCTCTTTTGAACGTGATAAGCGGAATCTAAACAATAAAATATATCTATTTAGATGATAGATTAAAATTAGTTTTTAAAAAGTTTCTTTTTGAGTTATTTCCATTTTTTTTTTCACATTGCACGCTTCTGAGTTCATGGAGATTTTTTCAAATTTTTCTTAATTTCAATTATTTTTTTCTGTTTCTTAAATTACTAACAAATTAAAAACTTGAGTAACTACACCAACCTTGAGCTTGTAGAAGGAGAAGAGAAGAGCGATTGAAGTTGTCAAATGAAGAACACTGATCCAATACAACGTCTAAAAACAAATTGTTGGAGGAACATTATTCGAAAGAGCAGAAAACCTGGGCCAAGACCCATCCGCTGAGTTCATAGTCGATATAGGGCACAAGAACGCCTGTAATGTAGATCATTTCGGTGGACTCTTCGTCGTCTTCCGCCTCCAACGCTGGAACTTCTGCAAGAAAAGCTTGTCTTCTTTTATCAGAATATCGGCCAATATGCCTGGCTCGGGTTGACGGCTGATGTCGACGCGATGAAAGAGGAGAATCACGTTGATGAAGAAAGCCAAATAAAGAGTAGTCTTCTCAATGGTTTTGAAGTTTCGCGCAAGCATGTTCTGAATCAGATTTCTTTTCTTCTTTATTATAGCTCAGCTAGAGCGCCAATCCTTTTTTTCCCGAAAAAATAGACTGTATTGATTTGGTAATTCTCTGCCTGGAAATATATGAAGGAAATTGGATTCCCTTGATACCTTTGAGGACATGATTTCCAGAACTGTTTTTCAAAAAAGTGACTTGTTACCATGTCGAAATGACTCAAGGTCAAACTCACCATGATGGAACCACGGCTGCGACCAGCGTTCGATTCGGCGATTTTCGGTTCATACTGCGTCTGAATGAACTCGGCCTCCGACTGGAGCTGCACCATCTGCGGGGCTCCGATCGATTCGTAGATGCTTGGCGCTTTGCTGGCGGCCGCCTGTGGCGAACTCGGCGGCGACGTCGTCGGCTCGTTGATCAGCGGCACGTCTTCTGTCGGAACTTCACTCCTTACGTCGTCTTCTGGTGCCGTCGGAGGTGGCACGAACTCTTCGCTAGTTCCACTAGGCGGCATAGCGTCGACTCCTGAAATTCTTCTTGAACTGTGGACACCAATTTTTTTTTTCGAAACAACTTCATTTTTTTCTAAAGACTTGATTTTTGTTTCGCCTTTTCTGAATGAGAAAATTTTCCGGTTATTTCTTATCTGTTGATTTATTGAAACCCCAAATCGTGTTGAAAAAGGTTCAACTCAAAAATTCGAGCGGTACTGCTGAAAGGTTTCCAGACGCCGACGAAACCAGCACGGAGCCGGGGCAAAACCCGATGACTCACCAACACCGAACGCGTCGACGCCAACGTGAGAATGATGAAACTCCGGTAGGACTGGATGAGCAAAATTGGTTGGCCGAATTCTGTAAAACCGGGGACTGAAGTTGCGACCGTCGGCAAAATACCCATTTGCGTGATTTTTGTGATCTTCGGCGTCAGTGTCGCTTGGAGGCGTCGTGAGGTAGTAGGCGAAGCGGACGATGGTTATCAGAAGAAGATAACCGCCCCAACCGATGGATACAGCCAGACGGAAGAGGAGCACCACCAGAGAGTAGATCAATTGCGTCCAAGTCATTTGTCTGGAAAAAATTCGTAAAAAACTCTCTGTTATCTTCAGATTTAGTCTGTGAATTTACATATATATCAATGGACTACGTTGTTCAATGGTTCCAGAAGTCTTACCAACTGCAGCAAAATCTGAATCCTTCTTTAAATCAACCATTTCATTTGGAAAAAAAGAAACTAAAAGCAATCTTCTCGCATTTTTCTACATTTATTTCGCGCTTCCAGTTTTCAAACGCTTCTGAAACCCGACCTCATGGCGGCGCTCATCGACTTGTATGTCTGTTTGATATTTTCAGGCCTGAGAGCCGACGCCGCAGTTATACCAAGGTTGTAGCCACTTTTGAAGGTCTCTGAAAGTTGTCTGAAGCAAAAATTGCGTTTTGCCCCAAGGTTAGCTCCGAACTCAGAAGTGGTGGTCTGCTGTAGGAAATAGTCGCGTTGTTTCATGGCTCGCTCCATTTTCGTGTCGTTGTCTCCGGAAGAAATCTTGGCCGCGTGCTGCATTTCGAAGATGGTGTCCTCGCAGAAGTTGATGAATGCCTCCAGTTTCCCTTGGTCTCCTCCATCATCCTGCAGCACGTTGAACAGGAACGAATTCTTCGAGTCACTATAAAATTTCGATATCAGGTAAAGTTTTTTTTTTATAGAAAACATTCTACGTAGTGCTAGAGAACAAAATTCGCTAAAAAATTTTGCTCCAGTAAAAATGAATTATCAAACTGAGAAAAATCCACAAAAAGAGGCAGGCAAAATGGTGAGTGATCTTGAGCACATTTCAGGAAATCTTGTCCTAAAAGATTCAAGTCTGCTCTTTTTATTCAAAGGATTTAATCTAGCTACCAGTTCTTCGCATAAACAAATACTTGCCGAATCTGTTGCTTGCCCCACTGTTCAAGCCAAGACTCTTGAATTTCGAAGTAAATCTTCTCGACCCTCTTGCTTGACCCCATTATTTCGATGCGGCCCAAAAACGGATCGAAATATTCCAAAAGCGTTTGAGCCTGAAAATATTTTGAAGATTCGCGAAATGCTGGTCAAAAACCTTTTCGATGATCTTCTCCAACCGCGGATCATTCGTTATGTGCTCTTTCAAGTTTGTCAAGAGCACAGCCAAATTGAAACCGATGTCTCGGGCCGGGTTGTGGAAGCTGAAGTGGTCCGTGGATCCTCAATGAGAAGCGAAACTAACCGCTCAGTGAACTCCATATAGTCAACTTTTCCGTCGTTGTTCACATCGGTGCACATCATCAGGTAGGTGATATCCTCTCTGCAAATAGGATTTCCTTATCTGGCCGGTTTCAACAGGAAATGAAGTTGCACAGAAAACTCAAACTAACCGAAAAAAAAATCATTGAAATGAACTTCAAAAAAAAGGCCAGAAAACTTAAATTAAAGTTTGAAACAAGAGCTGGAAATGTTCAAGTAGGATATACGCAATCACTATTAACTGATGTTTCTAAATTCGATCTGTTTTTTTGTCAGATGCTCTTTTTTGATGCTCAGTTTACATGACAACTTCGGCTCACGTACACAGTGTACATCTTTTGGCTTTCCATGGCTCTCTGGAACTCCTTGGGACTGATCCAGCCATCTCTATTCGTGTCAAAGTCCTGAGAAAAAATGTTATTTTCGAATAGAAATAAGGCAGATGCCTGGAAGGCTTGTGACGTTGTGAGGTCCTTCAATTTGAGGAACATGTCGGAAAACTTCAAGATTTTCTCAACCGAGGGCTGTGACTCGACCAACGCGTCCACCATCTGCTTTCCGATGGGTCCGTTCAGGACATTACCTTTGAAAAAGAGCGGGTCACTGAGAAATCAGCAGAAAGATTGTACCTTCCAACATGGACAACATCAAAACGATCATGTCTTTCTGGAGGTTGAGAAACTCGCGGAGGAGCTCCAGTTGCGTCGAGTTTTTGTAGAGCTTCTCCATCATGTGAGCGAAAAGGAAGAAGAATCCGTTGATCGCATCCCAAAGTCGAGAGTTGGCCAGAGTCATTTGATTTCCGACGCAAGGACCCTAAATGTTCCGAACTGTTCTTTTTTTTTTCGAAAAATTGAGAAAAAGTTGGGTACCTGAATGCACTCTGTAAGGGTGTTGAACACTTGGCTGCACACCTGAATCGCCCGCAGAAAGTATTCTTTGCCGCCTTCATCAATGACTTCCTTCAAAAGCAGAACTAATGGTCTTTTCAAAAAACAAAAAGTTCTCTGATAATTGAAAACATATTTTATTTCTGCAAAATTTTTTTTTATAAATCATACTTCACTTTTGATCATTTTATCTTTGGGTTTTCAAAATAATTCACTTTCCTGAGTAGCTTTGATTCTCACTCAAAGTTTTTTTTTGCCTTCTTAATAAAATTTTCTAAAAGTCTTTATTACTTTTTTGATTTCAACCAGCCCTGAATGAGTATCTTTTCATATAGGTAGAATAGCTCACTTTGCTGGAGTAGTGCCAGTAGAAGTCCATGACGGACTCCTGGAGCCGCAGCAAGTAGTCGACGGTGCAGTTGATCAGGTTGACGCTGGTCGTGTGGCCTGGCTGAGTGCGAAGATAGTTTTGGAAGTCTGAAAAGCGCAAATTCGCCTTTTTGTGAGAGACTGAGAAAAACCGATGTTGTGTCCTTCGCAAGTGAGCTGCAGGAAACGGAAAAGCGAGCACGTGAAGTCGGCGTCGTTGAGGTTCTGGTTGTCGCCTGAGGCCAGCTCGGCTCCCATTCCCAGGCCTTCGGCCTGAAATAAAAACTAATTATTTGGGTCTTTCAACCGGAGATTTTTTCTTATTTCGATCTGGAGACCAAAGCAGAAAAGGTCGTGCTTCATAGAAAGACGACACGAGTAGAGTCATTCCAAATAGAAAAAAAATGTCGACATGAAAGAACGGAAGCCTGTTTTTTCAAATTATGATACCATACATGGGCTAGTCTGAAACCTTGAAGGTTGTCCAAAATTTTACCAAATATGGTGCACCCATGTATGATCAATCTCAAGTTATCATGAACACCTTTTTTCACATTAAGAAAGCGTGAAAGCAGACGAACGAGCTGCAGGGTGAGCAAAGACCAAAAGACTGCGGGAGTAGCAGGCCACTTCACATTCCGAAATAGAAAATCAAAAAGTTTTTTTCATACTTGGGATAGTGAGTCTAGTCACTACTTCAAACTTTTTGGAATGAGATTTATGATAGAAAACAATCAAATAAACGGGTTAAAAACAGACTGAAAAATTATAAATGCTGCCCCACCACCTTTGAAAATTTCGAGCAGTACCATTGTTTCGGACGAAGCAACTATTTGATGTATGATAATTTTTGGGTTAGTTCTTTGAAATGGAAAATGAAGCTGGCACACGACAGAAATGACACGCAGACGAGAGTTTGAGGAACGTGCCCTAGGAGCGGCGGAGAGGATCGCGCCATGGCTGACGGTGCGGCCGCGCGACGGGTGCCGGTAGCACCAGGACTGGGAGCCGTGCACGTCGAGGCTCTGCAAGCCAACGTTAATAGAGTCCTTCCGCGACGACGCCGCTTCTGTTAGTCTCACGCGCTAGAAGTTACTCGGCACATGTGATGTCGTGTTGATGGGCACGTACAGTCAATGTATTATTTTAATCTGGTAATCAAAGTATTGACACGTATAAATTATTGAGTTCAGAGTCAACGATTTCAGCATCACATACAGGCGGGAAATAAAATTTTTAGGAGGACATTTGAAAACGATAACATTTTTTTGTATTTACAAAAAGGTTCGAAACTGTTGAAATATATCAGTTTCGTTATGAAGATTTATTATTTGAAAGTATGGAAAAAGTCGAATCATCCGAAAAAGTTTGTTAATATGAGACCGCCACAAAAAAATATATTTAATCTTAAAATATTAGTAATTCATTCACCGTTTGCTTGAGACAAAAAAATATCGAAGAGGTGTTGAAACCTATTCTTTTCGTACTGTTTTGCTGATAGCGTAAATGAAAATTGATCTTAAGACAGTGGTGAAAGAACTATCATAGCCGCAATCTCTGCGTATACGTTGAATCTCCATTATCATCATTAATCCACAAATTGAAGCACGTTCAGATGTCTTTGAACGCTCAGAAAACGATATTTAACTATCTAAATTAAGTCCCGATCGTTTTTGTTCAAAAAAATCTGAAAAAAAGTATTATATTTCGAACATTAGAAAAACGGCAAAAAATGAACCTTAATTTGTCTTTCGAACATTTCCAAGTTGAGGACGGAGCATTTATTCATGAGCCCTGCCATTGAGGTGAAAAAGCGGACGTCCTTCTTGAGTTGCAGATAGTCGATGAGCATCTGAAACTTCAAAATGCGGAAGTTTCACAGACGAAGAAGCGACCTTCTGGATTTCAACGTTTCCGCCACTTAGCAGGTGGATTCCAAGCTGCAGAGTCTGGGCGACCATCTCGTTCGGCTCGCCGTTCGACGCCGACAGGTACATCAGACTCATTATGGCGGCGCCGCGACTTGCCAGAACGCCTTGTTCGTCGCGAAGAGCTTGTGACTGTTCTTCCTTTGCCTGAAGCAAGTATAAACTTTTACATTCTGCTCCTAGCGCCGTTTTATCTTATTTTTGAAAGTTAACTACTACTTGTCAGAAAATTATGAAGTTGTTAAAAAAAAGTATCTTGTCGAATTTCTAAGCCAAGCCTCACAGCTTGATCGATTTCCCCTTCTTCGCCGTCTTCTTCATCTTCTTCCTCAATGTGGACCGACTTCGCCATGACGTCCGCAAACCGAATGTACCTGGAAAAAGGGATCTGTGTTCACAGACTTGTGGGGTCCTACAAAGCATCGTCTCCGATAGAGGCTGCTTGACTTTCTTCGCTGGTGGCCGCACGTTGGAAGCACCGGATCAATTGTTTCAAAGCATCTGGCTTCACTCTGGAAAACCATTGTTTTTTCTCCGGTCTTCGTATGGAAAAGAACTCGACTGCTTTGCTCTCCTCTGATACCACAGCCACGCCTTCTTCCATTATGATTTCGATCCGTGGACCTTCTTCTTCTTCGATGCCCGACTGAAATTCAACTTCATCCTTGCACGAACAAAGCTCACGAACGCAAAGATCGGTGATTAACAAATCCTGCCCAACGTCTTCTTCATCCAGCCACAGTTTTGAAAACGCTGGCAAGAAGAAATTGATTCCACGGTGCCTGGAAAAAATAGTGCGATGTCAAGAGGTGATAGTGGGAAGATTAGAAATGAAAGTTAGTTCCTACAGTTACAGAAAAAAAAAACTCAGTTAGTCGAGGGAAAGTTTGATAGCCATAAGCAGAACCAAATAGAAGCATAACAAGGCACTTCCTCAATCGGGAGTTAGGCGAAAAAGAACGAAATCAAAAAAGTCATTGCTTTTTCAAAAAAACTCTCCTCGTCCTCTCAAAAAGTTTTTCGAGATAGTAACCCCCTCCATTCCGTGTCATTTATATAATTCCTGTCACAAATAATTTGCAATCTTCTGAAAACTTTTCATATGATAATCACTTCAACCGCGTTTCCCTTCTGAATACTGTTCCATGATTGCATCGAAGGTCAAAAATATTTTTTGAAAAGTTTCACCGACTCTGTTTATTCTTCAAAAAATATTTGAAACAATATTTTGCATTAGATACTTTGAAACATGTCCATAAGTTTGCTGAGTTTTCTTTCCGACAGCTACTGGAGCTCGAACTGTTTTTTGTTATAAATTTTTTTTTCCAATGTTTTCACGACAGAGCGACGACTTACAACTCGGTTTTGTAGAGATGCGAGGCGGTAATCAGCGAAATGGCCATCCTCTTTCGTTGCAACGTCAGAACTTTCTTCCACTTATCCTCTTTTTCCGTACGACCCGTCATCTAACAAGCCAAAACGGTGTTAATCGAGAGGTTAACTGTTCTGGGGAAAACCAAAAGAACTATTCTCAATCAAGAAGAAGTCTATTGAAACTGTATTGTGAACGCTTTGCCGCCAGAAGAATTCACATCAAACACGCAAAAGATTGCACCCATAGCGAGCAGTCACTACATCAACATAAAGAGAACACACGTGGAGAAATAATCGAGGTGAATGAGAAACTCATTCTCTGCTTACAGAATGCTCACCTGGGGATTCCATATAGTGGGACCATGCGGAAGCAGGCGACGACCGCCCGTTTCCGCTGCGTCGAGACGACTTTTTTCCAAGCCTGCGAGAGCTGCATCTGGGGATGCTCGGTCTGAAGTGATTCACGTGAGATCTTCACCACAAAGCCAAACAGTGCGACAGATGAAGCTTAGAAGAGAAACCCTGATAGCGTGAGAATACTACTTTGAAGAGCATGAAGGACGTGCGATAACCTGCATTGACCTGACCGCAGATGGAGTGAATAAACTAATTTTGAAATTTACGAAGAAATTTTCAAATATCACAAAAATTTTAAATGTTTAGACGTCTGACAAATTTTATAATAAAGATTTTTCGTATGGTGAAAAAAATCGCAGAAAAAAGATCGAATATGTTTCACATTCGAATAGGGAAGTCGATTTTTTTAACTACGGAATTTGTTTGCTAGAATAATAACTATCCCACATCTATCCCTAGTGAGGATGAAAAATCAAAGAAACAGCTATTCTTCAAAATCTTCTCAGAAATATTGAAAGAAAGACACAAAGAAATTCGAGCTTCAATTCACTCTAACTGCTTTTCGACTTCTTGATAGTTCATGAAGCTACCACGGATATTTTTTCTCGGCTATGTTATATTTAAAAATGGTCGTGTAACTTTTAAAGCATTTATTAAAGAGAAGAAGGTATAATTTCAAGATGCTTTTTAACCGCTGAAAGAGACATTATCATGCGTTCTAAAAACTTCTAAAAGTCTTTTACTAGCCACTTAAACACTTTCAAAGTCCGCCAGAAGAATCAGAAGTAATCTTTCGAACCTAACTAAAACAAATTCAATCAAGACTACCCCTGTTGACTACCGAAAAGCAAACAGCACCAATGATTCAGCTTCATGCTGAAGATAAACCGGGTCTCATTATCAGGAAAATTAAAATTTGATCTTCGCAGGCCTGAGTCGTGGTGAACAAACTTTCAGAAATCATTTCTAACTGTGGTTTTCTGTCTCAGTTTCGTTGCTCAAACTTTTGATTCTATTCGTGCAGAAAGAAACTCAAAACCTATGTCTGGAAACAACAAGCAATACTCACGTCGAGCCGAGCCAACAATGGAATCCGTCGACCCCGTGCATCATACTGTCAACACAAAAAGGTACAACAAATCCGTGTAAAACTTTGAGAAAATAATGATATACGAGCCAACCTTGTAATATCTGCGGAATCTCCGGCGATCGGTGGTTCTTGTGATCTGAATATCGACAAAACACTTCGGACGAAGGTAACTATTCAAATCGACAAAGACATGAAGACGTCACAAAAATAACCACTCTAACAAAACAAGCCAACGGACGGCAAAGCGTCAAAATACCAGGTTAGTTTTTTCAAATTTCGAAATTATATATTTTTTTGACTCCCATGAAGGTCTTTTTTATATCTGTCCCAAAAAAGACTCGATTTTCTAACAATCTGTCAAAACGTACTGTGTGAAGAATCGCCGAAACTTGTCCCATATTGAAAATCTTTTCGATGACCGCCTCTTGGGACATTTCGTCTTTTCCTCGCATCTGACTCTTGCCTATCTTGCGGTACAGAGAAAGTTGCCACGCGTTTTTGTCTGTCGGATCCGTCTGAAAACGCTTTTTATTTTTCTTAAAGTGCACAAACATATCGCGCCGGTCATGTTTTTCGGCTTCAAGTATTCGTTTTAATTTATCAGTCTGGCTGATTGGTTGAGAACCTAGTCAAAAACGAGGTGAGAAACGTAGAAAAAGCTTTTGCAAAAAGCAGTATGTCCATTACAAAACAAAATCTGCGGAAGCGAGTGAACAGAAATATTGCCCGAACTTTATCCTGGTGTTACTATCATTTCTCATTTACTCCTCTCGAAATTTTCTCCCAAACTTACCTTGACTGGGATTTCAAGAAGGCCTTTGATGAAATCGCGAATTTTGTCTTCCGGTTCTTTCTGGACAAACTTTTCCTTCGATTGCTGGACAATGTCGAGTTCCCTGAGGAAGCATCGATGAGAGTCTTGGTAACGGGTGAAAAAAACCTTCCGCCAAAGACGTTCAGGCCAACAGGAAGCAGCCTTTTGAGACAAGCGATGACGATGCTCGCCGCGTGTTTGTCTTTCTTTATCTATAAGGGAAACACTCTCCATAAGTTCTTTTTTTTGCTTTATGTTACATTCTCAAGTTTTTCTTCCACTTTCTCGGTTACTATCACGATCTAGTTATTTTATATGATCTTCCAAACCGACCAAAAAATTGATATGACCATCCTTTTTCAAATTCTCGACGTTTTTTCACATTTCTTTCAGAAAAAGAAGGGAATAGAGATTTGATTACTTTTCATTGATCTACTATACGACACCACAATCACAACAGAAAACTTACGCATATTTTTCCATTTTTGTCAAAATTCTCTTTCATTTTATCCTGTGATACTATTGATGAAAAAAAGAAAAAAGATGATATTGACGAACTTGTCCCTCGCGGCGCTTCTTCTTCCTCTCTGCGATCGCCGCTTTTCCGGTCTTCATTTCGCCGCCGCCGATCGACTCTTCCTCGAACTGCGCCACGTAGTTCAACTCCTCACGCTGAACTCATACGGGTTTTCAAAATTGAATATTTCGTCGTCACGGGCACAGGAACTTCATTTTGTGAATTATTCACCTTGAAATGCTGGCTCTGGCTCCAGATGCGGAAAATGACGGCGACGTTCTCGTAGACGCCGTCGGTTTCCCACGAGGGAGACTTGAGCCACTGCGCTCTGTGCAGGTCCGTGTACTTCATCAGAAGGGGGAAAAATGCGTAGGTGTCTCGCACAAGTCGAGCGTTGTCCTGAATCATGAAATATGTTCAGAAGTCCAACTTTATAAGTGACGTTTGCTGAAAATTTTTTTCAAAGTTACTTCAAAAATCGTGTAGTTTGAAAGGTAAAATGACAACTTTCAACGTTTGGAATAGCTTTAAAATTTTGAAACTTTTCTGTTGAAGAAGGAAAAAATTACTTTTATTATTGTTTCGTTTTCAATATAAATTTCAGTCGATATGAACTCTTGGGCGAGTTTTAGTAAAGCATGTAATGGATTATGAATAAAATTAATGAGCACGAATCAAAAGATTGTCTGTTTGAAATAATCCTTTTGAGTCACATAGTGTAACGCTGATTCCGGTAATAAAGGAACATGAAGTGAAGATAAAATGTCGGGACCTCGACGACAGTGCCCTCGTCTGCGTCATCTGGATGTGTCCGCATATGTTCTTCTTCCTTGTAGGCCTTCTCGCTCATCCGACGAAGACGTTCGGCGATCGGCAGGATGAACTCACGCACTGGGTCGCTGGTCACGTTCTGGATGATTTGCACGGCATAGACTGAATCGAAAGTTGAGGAGGGGATTTTTCAACCGCCATTTACAGTTAACGCGACAGAGCCAAGGAGCGTTGTCAACGCCGACGTGATTGCGAATCATTCGGAGCAGGGCACAGAATATCCTGTTCAGATGGTCGCAGCTGACGTTCGTCGTTTGGATCGAGCTTCAAGTGATTCATTTTTTGAAACGGGAACGAAAAAAACTATCAGACTTGGTGTCAACATTTTCCTTTTCGCTTTTGCGTCCGTCAGGCCCGATGCTAAACCAATAAGCAAGGTAGGAACACATGAGCGGCAGGTCGACGTCGTAGATGTTAGGCTCGTCCGAGTACATCGTGTTGTTGTTCGCCACCTATACACAAACAAGACAGTTAAAAAAGAAATGCGCTGTTGAAATTCAATAAAGTGCAAATTATTTGGCAATTTTTAACGAGTAATTAAGAGTCATAGGTGAACTACAACTATTATGGAGTCCTACTTCAGAGTTTAAATTATTCTTTCAAACTTGACCGAACCGTTTCGATCTCATTGAGGAGTTTGTCCAAGTGCGGGATGTGAGTAGACAGCTTTTGCAGCATTTCTGTATTTCACAAGTACTGACTTCCAAATGTTTCTCTCTTCACCTTGAACTTGCACGGATTGCTCTTGAGACTTTGCCAAGACAGAAAATTTGTTGTGTTTGTTGTATTCGGGTTCCAAAAAGGCGACAGGGAAACAGGAAGCGAAGGCGGCCAAGCACTGGCCCAGAGCCGGTCGGTGCCTTCAGTCACAATCATTTATCAAAGGACTTTATGAAATTTAAACTTTTCCGCCTCGTAACTGATGCTCTTTCTGTGTGCGAAGGAGCCGCCGAGGCCTGTGACCATGTACATCGAATCGAGGATTTTGTAGCATGCGGCCTGGATGTCGTCCACTAAAAACAACAACTATTGCTTTCCCGGAGAAAGCTGCGAACGAAGTAGATCGGTTCCGAAGTGATTGCGGGCCAAGTGACTGAACATGGTCGTCAGGACCGGCACTATCATTTGGTTAGCGAATTCAAACGAGTTCCAGGACTTGAGAGACTGTCCGCGGATCAGAGAGTACTGTCCGTTATCCTGAAAAAATTGAATGAGGCAAAAATATGGTGTAAAAAGGAGTTCATGATCAAATATTTGAAGAAGAAAAAACACCGCAAATATTATAAAACGATGAAGTGTGACCGACAATCTAAAGGCTCAAATAAAAAAAAACCTTGAGCTCATTGACTGCAGCGTACATGTCGTCGGCGCAATTGTTGAAAAAGGTCAAAAGAGAAGTTCTCACAATGTCCGAATTTACTTTCACCAACGTTCTAGAATCATGTTTAAATGAAGTCAATAAATATTTTATATAACCTGAGGTCAAGAGCTTGTGTAAGTCCTTGAAGACACTTGACGGTGATCTTTGCGACGCTGCCAAAAGCTCGGTTTTTGATTCGGAGCAGAGCGGCGAGACGACAGAACAGGCTGAATAACCACACATTTCATGATTTAATGTTATATTTTTTTCAAAAAGTTCTTATTTCGCATCACATCCCTGATTTTGGGAAACCGATCACTTTTTCCAGGTATAGAAAGTTATCCCCACAAAAACTATGATCTCGAAGCTATTCGAAAAAAAATTCAAGTGTCTCAACATCTCAAAATTGATACCACGTACTAAAAAAAAATATTTTCTCTTGGTTTCGTAAACCCACTTGGCCACCATTTCTTTTTCTTTGTTGCTGGCCGTGCCAGTAAGAACGATGGAAGATCCTTCGAGGAAGTAGTTTTTATGGGCGCAGAAATAGGCGTGCATCAGAGGCAAGACGACCTGAATCTCCCTTCGTTTGCTTGAAACCCTCCATGTTCAACCTTCTCGAAAAACTTCACATCTCGACCTTCCTTTTTGAAAGAATTCCTCCGCGTCAGTTCTTGACTCGGCTTCACCGACTTCATCTTCAGACTCGCTTGCTCCAGATACTAAACCAATACATTTTTTTATGCGTGGATGATCAAAAAACTAAAAAAAAAAAACCTGGATCAGCTTTTCCAATAGGTTGTAGGCGAAACGCTTTTCAACTGAAGATCGCTCTCCTTCATTTTTCGTTCTTTCGTTTTGAGCTGAGTCCAATTGCGAGCTGGATGAGCTGATTAACCAACTTAGTAATGGAGGAAAAACCTGTTGACGTGGTAGCCATGGTACTGCAAAAATTTGAGGATTTCGTTGGCGCGAAATCGGTCTTTGCGTCTCTCGAAATCGGTGAGCAAGTCCCAGGGAACCAAAGGCATCGGCATAAATCCGCCTTTTGTGTTCAGATCATTCATTACCTGTCAAAACTATCGTTGAAAAAAACATTCCTTAACCTTATTCCATCAAGGTTTACTCTATTCTTACAAAATTTTTTTACTAAAACTTTAGTTTTTTCAATTGTTTTTTTTGACCGTAGCACAGTTCTCCGTTGAAAAACTTTCTGAAATCCAACCTTTTTTGCCCAAATCATGTGAGAATGTTCGGCCATTTTTTCTCCAGCTGCAATCATTTCCTAAAATGTCGATCAGAGTGAAAATCATAAAAGTGGGATACTTTTTCCAAGGTCATGCTGCTCAAGTCGACAGGTTTTGGAGCGAAGTTCTGGATGGAAGTTCCTGAAGTATCTCCTTGAAACTAAGAACGATTGGAAAAAAAAACCAGAAATAGTCCGTGCGTGAGAGGCGCGATCTGCGGCATCGCGATCCGCCAATTCGAAGCTGTAACCCCAAGCCAACAGCGCCTTTATGCACTCCGCACAACGCTCTTTGTAGAACGATTTTTCCTACAATCACCAGGTGGATTTATGATGAAAGACAAGGATCACGGACAAAGTCTTTGAGCAGGGAAAAAGGCTTGAGACGAGGATGAGTCAGTGTCTGTCTCGAGTACAAATCTCCGTGAGTCCAACCCTGGAACCACGTTATTGAATCGAAAACGCGGGCCCGAGAACTTTTTCGAGCTTGCGACTGGCCCAGGAGTCGTGGAAATGCTCGGCGAAAAGTTCGGTCATTTGCTGAAGGTCGCGGCTCATGTCGATGCGCGAGACGTCGACCGTCCGCGGCACCCAGGCGCCTTCCTCGTCTTTTAACTTGTCCTGCAAAACGATTTCTTCTAGATTCCTCAAATGAAAACTGACCATCTTAGCGTCATCGGCTCCAGTTGTGAGGGTGTAATCGGGTGAAATAGCAGAGCCGATAGCTGTCATACACGGCAAAGCCTACAAAAAAAGCTCAAAAGTGTTTCTCAAAACCTGAAAAAAGCAGATATAAGCAATTAAAAATGAGAGACCTCAAAAAAACCAGTCACCATCTCATATAGTTTTCTTTCTTCACACAATTTTAAATATCTGCCTTTCAGAATTTTCATCTATATAAATTACCGTTCATCCATGTATCAGATATCCACCTGTCTGAACCCGGCGCTATAAGTTCAGAAGGTTTCAAAGTAATTGTAACATGAAATTGAGATCTTTAAATGCTCGAAATGGTTTTACTGAAAGACTTTTCTGTTTAGAGTATTAATTTCTCCTTTTTTCCGATTTTTTCGAGAATCAATTGAAAAAATTGCTTTTTTTTGCAAGTCTCATGAAGAGTATTTTTTATTTTTTTTTTGCTCTCAAAAACAAACCTTTCCAAAGAGTTCTGGATCGTACGCGCGACTGCCAAGTGTATCGAAAATGGCGTAGAAGAGCAACATCGAAAGCCGTTTCTCGAGCTCGCTGGCGACGCCATAATGGTTTCCCGAACCGTAGTACTTGGCACATCGTTCATAATGCAGAGTGATCAACTAGAAACTTTCAAAAATCTCGATCCAGAGTCACCAACGAACCCTCAGTGGCACCAGGACGTTCATGTCGCTCATCGAAGAAATGTCGCTGATCACCTTTTTCAGCAGTTTGATCATCATTCCAGGAGGCAGTTCTCGGGTTATTGCTACCAAAAAGTCAGAGACGGCATCGCGTTGATTTTTCGTCAAAGATTTGAGTCGATTCATACGGTAGACCTATCAAGAATTCGGTGAAATGAATCTTTTTCTTGAATAACCGTGTGCAAGGTGGCATCGAGAAGCGCGGCGTGGTGTTCCGCGTCGCAGAAAAAGTGGGAATGGTTGGTGAGAAGTGGAAGAACCGAGTTGCACAAGTAGCGATTGAGAGCGAGGGCCGTGTCCGATTCCAAGGCTTTTGGCTGGAAATACCTCCATAAAAAGCAACCCATAGAGTCCTACAGAATCCATCATGGTGGCGGCGCGGAGATCGGGCAGGAAGCTTTGCTCCAAAAAGTGGAACAGCATATCTTGAGAATCGATTCCATAAACCCTACAAGCCAAACTCGAAATAAACATTCTGACTTTTGGGAACCTGTCAAGGAAGAGAAGCACCGAGCCCTTGTGATTTGGAAGGAGTCCAGGAAGTGGACCAGTTTCTGGAAACTGCGCGATGAGGCAATTATTTGGACTTCAAAAAAAGGTTTGGATCAACAAGTATAGTTAAGATTCTAGTTATTGACACTCGGTTAGGAAAAACTCACACAAAATAGTACATCATTTTTTCCTAAAAAAAGACATTGATTTGAACTTCAAAAACAAAGATAAAATCAAGTTTTCACATGGGTTAAAACATTTAAATTCATGTTATCAACACTTAGGACGAAACTCACAGCAAAGAATATCAATAATTTCCCAAATAAATGAATTTTTAAAGACTTTATTTTTGTCAACTACGCAACAAGCCTCATTTCCTCGAAAAAACGATTGCAGATTTCGTTCAGTTTTTTTTTCAGTAAGAAACTTTTGAATTCTAATCTTCGAATGCTTCAAAAGTTGGGAAATATCATACTTCAGCCAGAGAAGGAAAGTTTTGATGGAAATTCGGCGCTATGCAAAGTATAATAGACAGGTTCATCTCCAAACATGGGCGTACCATTGTTAAGCCTCGAAAACTTGCTAGGCCTTCGGAATATCGCTGTCGAAGTCTTCTCAGCTCCTTTGGGGGCGAAAATCTCGTTGCCTGACGAGAAGGAAGTGTGGACGGAGGCGTACTCGGATCCCGAAGAAGGCGGATCTTCAGAGTCGATCTCCTCTAGACGCGGCAGTCGCAGGGCGGACAAACTCGACGGAGGTCGTCGCGACGGCGCCGTGTTCTGCGAGACTTCCGAGGCCAGCGAAGCAACCATCGCGAAAGTGTGTGCCAGAGCTGTTTTGTTGGCGCACGACGTCGTCATCGCTCGGCGAGCTGCACGGTAACTTTCTATTAGTTTCAAACAACAGCTAGGACTCACTCTGCACTCGAGCAGTTACGGACAAAACAGTGGACAGTGTATTGGGTGAAACAGAAAAAAAGTTCATGGACAGTATGCGTTTCCGATATGTTAAATTCTAACGCGAAAAAAAAAGCTAATATGAGCTTAGAAGTTTCAACCTCCGGAGACTACTTAACAAACGCGTTTGCTTTAGCAAAAAAAAAAAAACCAAGTACCTCAAATATCTCCCGTTTTAGTTTAAAAGAAAGCAATGGTTTCAACTTATCAGCAACTGTTTCAGGAAAAAAAAACTTACAGCATCGGAATCTAAAACTAAATTTTTATTCACTTCCTTTCTTGGAGCACTTATTTCCAGAGTTGAAGCCCAAATTTCAGGGATCCTCGAATATATACTCATACCATCAGCAGTAGCGGTGGCCAAATTTGGAATCGTAAATCGCAGGCTGAGAATCTGACCCAAGTCTTCTAAAGAAATCAAAGATCGCAAAATTGCTCTGGCGCGAAGCGAATCTCCTTTTCCGGCCTGTAAAAGGAAACGGAAATCAAAAAGAAAAAGAAAAGATCACCTGAATGGCCATCGGATCAGGGGCACACTTTGCAAGCAAATCAACGAGACTCGAGTAAAAGTCCAAAGTAGCGGCTCCAAGATCGATGTAGTCCTCTCCTTCGACGTCTTTCGATGGATAAGAACTGAAAGAATGACAATTTCGGACCCCACATTCACGCAAAACTCACGGCTCCTCGCCAAGAAGTCCACTGCGCAAGACGCTTCTCGATCCTTCGTTTTCGAGGACTCGGATGTCCTCAGACAGGGCTATCGCCTCTTTGAAAGCCGCAAAAAGACCTTGTCCTTCTCCTTTCAAAGCGATTCCCAGACACTCAGGTCGTCGGATAAGTAGCCGGATGACAAGATTCGCGTTCTCTTCCACGTTTTCTCCATTTATCCACACGCAAAATCCTCAGGAAGTCGATGTACCTGGAAGTATCACACGATAATAGAAGAAGATCTTTCTGAAACCTTTCTCCTTCAACAGGATCCCATCCGATGTCAGGGTAGCCCTTGGCAATCAGTTCAGAATTCGGCTGCAAGCCACATCTCGACAGGTAAACCGCAACCTGCAATGAAGTTGGATGATTTGGAGAAAAAAGCAAAAAGAAAAAGTTTATGTAAATAGAACAAATTTTTTCTGCGCGTTTTCTCCGAAAAGAGGGATCAAAAAGTGATAATATGATGAAAACTGAAAATTCCACATCAGCTTCAGCAGAGAGACCGGGTTGTGAATCGCAATGTTTACCGTCCGAGAAAAAATAAAAAACCAAATAAGTTCCCGACTCAACAGAAGTTTCGGACATATGCTCATAGCTTTCGAAAGTCAGTGCTGGACGTTTCCGCACCTTGTCCAGCTCTTCCTCTTTCAGAGCTAGAGCCAGCTCGTTGTTGTCCATGAAGGAGGAGTAGGCGACGTCGAGGGGGACCGAGCCCCGGAGCGAAGGTCTCGCCAGGAGCATCGTCGCGTTGTCGAGCAAGAAGGAAAGATGCTCGAACATGGCTTTTTGGTTCTGCCGCGAAGTCCTGCAGAAGTAGCACAGGAATCGAGAACACGCCACCACCATTTCCGAGGCATCCTGAACAAAGGGAAATGAACAGCACTCGAATATTTCGATTTTTTGATCCCAGCGAATGACAGAAATAACTCTTGAAACAAGAAAAAATTCCTAATTTTTCTCAAAACTAACTTTTTTTTCAAGACTGATTAGAAAAAGTACTTCACCTATATGCTTTTTAAGTTATTACAATAAATTTTGATAAATAGCTAGGTATAGAAGCAAGTTTCCTTGTATGCATGGTAATGCACACTTACGAAGACTTCAAAAACAAAACAAAAATGGAAAAAACCTTGATTGGAGTCTTTTCTTTGAGTTCGTCGCCTTCGTGCTCGACAGTACCCTGCTGAGCCGTCAGGATGTTCATCATGATCGACATGACGTTCTCATGCACAGATAGCAAACGCATCAGGTCTGGATGTTGGAAGAAAATGCGGTTGTTCATGAGTTTCCTGAACTCGAAATCGTTTCTATTGACGGTGTCGGACTCGCCATAGTCCTCTTTTCAGAATCGCCTCCTCGGTGTGTTCGAACTGGACCGTGAGAAGTTCGCGGATTTGGATGAGGTAGACGATGAAATCCGTCACATCCAAGACGTTCCTCTCGTGGAGAACGTAGGTTTGAGCCATCCCATCTCGTAGCTGAAAAAATAGACATTTCCGAGAAATTGTGGTTTTCCACCTCGCGGACTCCGGAGTACTGTCTGAGAAGAAGCTCGAACATGCTGCGGATCAAGTCGTTGCTCTCGATGAACGCGTTTTGCGCCCAGTCGCGGAGCATCGTCACTATCATCATCCTTCAGATTATTATCATGAAAACCTTGTTTCTCCTCGGGAAAACCTAAAGTTTTCTGTCCCTTTTCGTTGGACGTCGACGTCTTCCTCTTGAATGGGCGGCGGCACTTTCACTACGATCCGAGCCAGAGAGTCCACCTTCAAGTAGAGCTCGAATGAGAAATTTTGAAAAGCCGAAGTACCCAGGATCCTTCTTCTGATTCGATGAGAGCCAGCTGGTCGTCACTCGCTTCCGCCGACGCGTTTCCAATCTTTGCCACTAGCAAATCACAGAAATCACGCAGCTGCAAATATTACGATTCTTCTTTTTCAACTTTATACTTTTTTTATAGAGACAGTTAAAAAAAGTTCGAATATTTTGGTCTTTTGTTATTTTCTTCAACTATTTGGATTAGAAAAACACCGCTTTTCGAAAAATTGAACTTTTTTGACGACTGAGTTTTGAGTAAAAACTAATGGTGTGATGGCTCAAAAGGAACCTGCTGCTGGAGTGAATCGTTCATGGGACACTGGTCGATGTCTGCGTCTTCTTCCAAAAAAGACGGATCTCTTTCGTCTTTCACCTGAACGTCTTCATCAAAAGGAAGATTCGTGAAGAGCAAGACCTTGCACATGAGAAGTCGGAACATTTGCTCTTTGGGCGGGCAACGGAACTCTTTGGTTTTCTTGGCAGCTTCCGCTGGAGGCATGTCCGTCTGTTTGATGTCCATGTACCTCAAATCTCAAGTTGAAAAACACGAGTTCAAGGCCACAGTTTCCCCCGAGTGGTTTCATAGAGATCTCTACTTTTTTCGATGAAGTAGCGAACCTTCTGCACTGGTCGGCTTGCAGTTCCCCGACGAAACCTTCTGTGAACGCAACAAGTGATTCGATTCGATGACGCAGCTGAAATCGATTCACCTTTTTCTCTGTGCATGAGGTACAAGTTGCCATTCTAAGCTTGTTTTTTTTTTGCTCAAAGACTATTCTCAATGTCAGAAAAAAAAACTGACTTGAATATCGCAAAGATGGTTGAGAATGCAGACAAACTGGATTTTGACGGGTTCCGCGAGCTCGATTTCAGTGAGTCCCTTGCTTGTCGAGCCTTTGAATATGGTTAAAAAATAGTGAAGTTAATTCATATTTTTGTACCTCATCAAGTTATTAAGGTTTTCACATTACATTTACTTTTTCTTCCAAATTACGCTTCCACTGTTTATGGACAAAAAAGTATATTCGCCCTCGAAATAACCTTTGTTCAAAGAAATCTTCATGTCGCCAGAATTCCTCTGATCGGTTGAAACCAAATGTTAAAAGAATTTCAAACAGATCTCAAAAAATGCTACACTTTACAGTGGGCGGAATGAACTGTGAAAACTGCGGTCAGTTTTGTTTCTCCAAAACTTTTCACCTCGAGACATCACTGAGCTGTAATTTAAAAAAAAATCCTCAAGAAGAACTACCTATTTCGTATGTTTCATCAAAGGCGGCGGGATGTATCAGTTTGAGCAAAGTTTCAATTTCGCTGTCGTCGATGAGTCCGATGACCAGCAAATGATCGAACAGTTTCATCAAGGGTCTGAGAATCGGAAAGATGGGTGAGTGAGAAAAGAAGAGCTAGAACTCGAAGTGGTTCGTGTTGTCGCCGCCGATGAGATCTCGACAGTTCATGACGGCGTGTTGAGTCGCCGACTGCAGCGATTCCATCACGTGTGATTTGAGGGCGTCGAAGTTGATGGACGGCGGCAAAAGCTTCGTTTCGTCGTCCAAATAAACCCTGAACAAATAAATAAATAAACTCAACCTTTTGCTCATTTTTCCTTTAGTGATATAACATCACAATCTGAGTTCGGGAGTATTTTCAGGGAAAAACTGCAAAAAAAAACTAATCAAAATCATCACTCAAGCGATCGCTCTCATTCCGAGGCTTCCACCTAGAGCACGGTCTCCGGGCTCCAGCGCAACACCCGCTACATTCTGAGCTCGTCAAACCGCAACTGGCTGGACTACGCGCAAAGTAACGAGACGAAGGACCGCAAGATCATGCTTTCAACTCTTTCGACTACACGTTTGGACTTCTAGTTCGCCAAAGGCGGTTGTTCGTTATAGCTTTTAAAGTTCTTGTTTACCGCCTAGTCGATTACATCTGACTAAAACAACAAAACAAATGACTTGATTGATTGAAAATAGTACATTAGCTTTGAGCTGGGTCATCGTAGAGCACAAAATCTTTGAAGTACGTGCAAATCGTTTATATAAGATGATTTTTCGTGCCTAATTTTTTTTTAATTCAATTTTTTGTTTTTCGGGATTGAAGTTATCATGAAACTGACTCTTTCCTGACCGGCTCCGAAGCCATAACAGACAACATTGACACGGATGAGCCGGTGATTTGAGGGAACCTGAAGCGGTTAAAATAAAAGAGACGGAACTTCAGTCGGAACAGACCTGGTCTCGTTGTCGGGGTCCAGGACGTTGGTGATTTGCAGCTGTGGCACCAGAGGAATGACATATTCGCGAGCCATGCTCAGTCGAGCCGCCGTATGGCTTTGCAGGTGCAATGCGATCAGAAGGTCGTGGAATCCTTGTCGCAGAGGTCCCGACAAGTCTAAACTTTTCCATTCAAAAGCGGCTCACAGCTTTCTATTTCACAGGTCGTCTGGCTGTTTTCCAATCGAAACTTGCGTTCCATTTGAAAAAAAAACTCAGAAGAGACAAAAAATATTGAATAGCCAGTTATTCAATCAACTTCTCCGGTTACGACGCATCGCTGATCGAAATTAAAATGATTTGAATGAATTAGTCTGAAACTTTTGGCGGAGAAGCGACTTTTTGAATCATAATTTATTCCAGACAGTGTTTTGACTTCATGAAATCCCTTTTCTTTTTTTGAAAACATTTTTTAAAAAAACTGACAATGACTCTTTATGGTGTACATGATTTGATCCTCGTCGACGTGTTGGCAGAGCACGTGAGCCACCTTCTGGTTTCCGTGACTCGCTAGTTTGCAGTAGAGGTTGAGAGTCTGCCGGTGGAAGTCGAGCATGTCAGGCTTCTCGATCATCTCCAGGATGTCGAAGGACATGTCCTTCTCGGGCACGTACAGCGCCATGATCCGCACCGGATCATTGCACAAGACTGACCATCCTGAAGCAGAGATCTTCTTCGTTCTTCCCTTCAACTCCACCTCTGACGTCGCTCAACTTGAGAGCAGTCGTCCTCAGAGTTTCGTTGGGCACGCGCGCCCAGTAGACGCTTTCGAGCTGCTCGACGGCTAAGCGCGGTGGACAGAAGGGCACCAGAGACTTCTCACACGACTTGAACATGGCCGCAGACAACGGGAACGTGTACTAGAAATTGTTTCAGATGAACAAACAATACTTTTTTTTCTAAGATTTTGCCCTGTAGGTGTTGCCTGTTGGTAGAAAATTTGTTGAAAAATTACCAGTTGGTTACGGAATTAATTATTTAAAATTAATTACGATTTTTTTCCTTTAACGAAATCTAATTATAGTGAAGAAAACTATAGCGATTTAAAATAAAATAAAATTAGATCCTTCACTGTTCCTTCATGAACTCTTTTTCCCTTCATTTACTCGGCATTAAGACTTAAGGACTGGTCAGGTCGCTAAAGGACCTACCCTTTGGACGCGTTTTTTTCTCAAAAACTAATAACTTTCGTGTAATTCAGAACCTTTATGCGTCCGAGTTCGAACTGCAGAATCTCCGTCGCTGTAGGAGTGACGAATGCTGCGGGGAAAAGCATCGCGCCAGGCTCGAGCTACAAATCAACCTATCTCCGAGACCTCCTCGTCCTCATCACCTTGTATTTGATGTTGGTGTCTTGACCTCCGATTTGGAAAGAGAGTTCTCCGACAGAAGTGTCGACGATGCAGCCGATCAACGTGCCCGAAACCTGAAAAGGAGAAGTTCAGATGAATCCAACGAAATAACTCACCTTGGTATTGGCTACGTCCGGAGTCGTTGCGAGCAATTCAGAAACGTTGACCATGTAGCAGTTTTGCGATTGAACGCTATAATTATTGAAAATTTATGGAACTTGTCAAAAATTTGGGTTGACTGTGATCTTCGTCTAGTCGAATTTTGACGCATCTGCAACGCCAAAAAAGCTTTCTTATTTTTCTTCAAACTTACTGTGGACAAACTTTAAAAATCTACAGCACGCATGAAAGTCAAAAGTGGAAAAAAGTTTAAATGAATTGGATTCAGAAGAACTCGAAGTACATTTTTCTAAGTTTTTTTCATTCCTGATATATATATATATATAAAAAATAAATTACCCTGAACATTTGAAACTGACGTTTTTTTTACAAGTTCAACAAAAAATGAACAAACCTATCCACGGTAACACCATGATGATCAGACTCAGAGAAACGACATTTCCGGACACCCTGGGGCTCGTTGAAAGTAGTGGAGTGATAGTGGTACTGCGTGGTAACCCAGCCGACGTAGACGTTAGCAGGATCTTGGCCTGGGAAAATTCGCAGGCCGTAGTAGTACTCGTCGACCTTGTCGCTGAGAGCAACCAAGGCGTGCGCGTCACTCTCCTGGTAGAGGGCGTCAAGATTCGCTTCCGGAGGGATCAGCGAGCCTTTTTTCTCGGTAACCACCACGTTCTGTTCCTTCTTTCCTTTTTTCTTCTTCAACGAGGATCGCTTGACGGCAAGAGTTCTTCCTGGTCCTGACAACGGCATCTCTCCCGAAGCTGAAATACATTTGAAACCATACTCATACAAGAGGTCGCATCACTTTTGGTACATGGTGCACTTTTTTGTGTACACGGTCAATAATACAAAACTTTTCACGCAGAGAGAAACTAAAATTTTCAGAAAAAGTTTTTTAATGGATGAAATACAGTCTGTTCAGATCTTGAATGTCAAGTCGTCGCTCAAGCTCCGCCCCTAATGGTGCGATAACCAATCAAAGAGTGAGCCATCCACAGAGTTTTTTTCAATGACTTCATTGCACTTGACATTAAAAATTAAACATTAAACATACCGAGAACGTCTTTCTGGCCTGTAGGCGTCGCAATAGCCGCTGGTTCTAGACTTCCAGCGTCGAAAGACCTCGAGTTGTTTTTCATATTACGCAATGCCGCTTGTTTCTCTTCGATTCGTTTTTCTTCCCTCAAATCACGACGGATCAATCGCAATCGACAGTTACAATAAAAAACTATGAAGCAATAATACAGCCCAAGTTCAAAAACAATTTAATCTTCATTTCTACGACAAAATATTTTCAGGAAGCTCACTTTTTCCTGTTGTGGCTGGAATCGCGGAGGCGACTCAATAGTCCGCCTTTTTTCGGCTTCTCCGAACGGTCAGAAATTTCACGCAAGTGGTCTTCTGCTGTCTGGCGATCATCTGGATGAAGCTCAAGCAGCGATCGTCTGAATTAAGTATACCGTCAAAAAAATGTGTCCTATTGAGAAAATTAAATTTGAAAAGAAATGAAGCAATTCATATATAAAGAAAAATCAACAGCTCAGGAGCATACATTCCAAATTAATCGATCGGGGTAAAAACAAGCTGAATATTCTGGCGACAGTCATTTTCATAGATCTATATAGAGGATAGTTCATTTTTGCTTTATTATCAACTATAAAAATGAAAAAAATTACTCAGACATGCAGCGCGCACGCGCGTGGTGTTCTGCTTCTTTTCTTTTTGCCTTTTCAATCGAAATACAAGTTTGAAAAACGTTTATTTTTTTCAACTTTTTGCATACTTCCTATAGCTGCACTTGAAAAATTATCACAAAAAAATTTCCACGGGACAGTTTGGTAATTTAAATTCAAAAACAGGTACGGAAATAATAAATTTGTAAATTTTTAATAAGTCTTTAAATGACGTGTTGATCGGACAAAACGAAAATTGTCCCGAAACGCAAAAAAATTGCTTTAAAACAAAATTTAGTACTGTTTTGGAGCAACTTTGGCGCGCCAATGAACACGATTTTTTTCGTTTTGAAGCATATAGACTATATAATTATCGTGATGTCGTATTTCGCAAATCCAAAAAGCGGCCTAACTTTCCAAAAAAATTGACTTCTTCTATTAATCACGCATGTTTGAGACAGTACTACGGCGGCCGGTGGCCGGTCAATATTGCACAGTCAGTTTCGGAACCAGAAAATTTTTTTAATTTTCTTTTTTTTTGCAATTTGTTAAGGACCTCTTTCTCGAGGTACAAGGTAAGTTACGTCACAAAGAGGACACAAGATTTCATTTTATTATCGAAAAACCTATCCAACTATCAAAACTATCGTAATACGACCGGCCACCTTAAACAGGCGTGTGATAAATATTCAGGTTTTGAATATCAAGTCATTGCTCTAACTCCGCCCCCTATGCGTAGTTCAAACCAGAGATGCTGACCAGACCGGGTCGCCCCGGGGCACCCCGTTAGCAGCACTGGTTCAAACCAATCAGAGAGGAAGCCAACGACAGAGCGTTTTTGAAAGCGGAGTTTGCTGTTAGACATTCAAATTCTGAACAAACTATAATGCCGTGTTCAAACTGATTTCGCGAAAACCGAAATAGCTGTCAGAGAAAGAAAAAGATAACTAAATTTTGGAGAGCAGAAGATAATTTTGCATTGCGTGAAATTACGTTGAATACGGCACACCGGTCCGAACTGTCCTATACTTTCGAGAGAATAGGACAGTTCAAAAACGTTGCCTTCAGGGTTGCCGTAGAGAGAAAACATTTTGAATTTTTTTCAATTATACCATTTTTATCATAAATTTATAAATGTTTTTATCCTTGGATTTTATCAGGAAATTAACTTCGAACGTGTTTCGCGACATTTTCAATTAGTTCCGCTTATCCAGGTAATTTTTTTTCAGAAAGTTTTAAATGAAAAGGTTAGTTTAAAGCATTCGGAGCGAAAAATGGCACACCACATCATGCGCAAGAGGAAGGGCTTTGGAGGAGCACCTGAAGATGTTTTTCCATTTGTGGTGGTCGTCGTCGTTGACGTGAAGCCAGGTGAGAATTGACTCGTCGAACGAATACATACCGAAGTTCATTAAGGTTAGCACACGACGTCGTTGACTGCAATCCCACGACACGTTTCTAACCCCGAGCTAATCGAAGCAGTAAGTTTCATTATTTAAAAAAATTTTTTTTATTCTGACATCTTTCAATGTTCACGATTTAGACATTGTTTCTACTGGTTTTTTTTTTCACTATATTATTGAGAAATCTATAGCTTTTTTTATGTTCAGAAGTGATAGTTCTATTGGAATGACTTTAGGGGAGCATTATATTTAAAGGAAGTTTTTTTTTTCACACAGAATTGTTATTAATGTATTTTAATTCATTTATTGTCCAGGATCACGCATATCGATAGACTTCAGCGGACAAAGAAGAAATCTCGCACAAAAAATGCCCAAGTGAGTGATACTATCTGTTAATGGCGGAAACCCAAAAGCAGTCAAGAAAATGTAAATATGAGTGAACACTCTCAAGCTGTTATCGTTGAAATGACGCTAATAGTCTCGGGAAATAAAAAAAGACAAAAAAACTGTGTATTATTGAGGAAAAAAATGCTCACCTGACGCCAGGCGGCTCTCCGTCGGTCTCAAACGAATGCTGCTTCGAGGCTGCTCTGGACCTTGCAGATCTGCTCTGCTCTTCGTCAGAGTCGTGCGAGTCTTTGGAGCCCAGCATTGCTCTTAGGAATCCTGTCTTCTTTTCTTTGTTGTCTTCGAACTCTTTGGGAATTCCGGGCGCTCTAATCTGTGACACCACAGACTGAGAGCGAGGCTTGTACTCTGCGAGTTGTCTTCGAATCGCGTCTTTGTCTCTGTAATAATGGTTCGGGAAAATCGATGGTCTGCGAACCAACTTATTCTTTATAAATGTGTCGTTGCACTTCACCGGAAGCGAAAGTCGGATGTATTCCATCTTGGCTTTTTCAGAAGGACCTCCCTCGGACAAAGTTGCTTTTTGGGTTATCTTCAAGCATGGCGGGCTGTTTCCAGTTGCAGGGATTCGAGACACCTGAAAAGATAGAATTTTAAACGAATACTCAAATCTCACTACCTCGATTTGTGACGTAGGACCAATGTCTTCAAAGCAGGCAAGCTGTTTGGCAAACCACATAGGCATGTTGCGGTACATGTTGACACAGAAAGGCTCATAGCCTTCCTGCAGACCGCATGTAGTAAAGAACTTCAAAGAGTTGCTCGTTTGTCCGAAGTTGAGCCTTCCCTTCTGTCCGCTTCCCAGTGTCATTGCTGGCACCAAGCCTTCACCGTTCATCACGTTGTCAAAGGCCATTTCTGATCCTGACGGATCCAGTAAGAGCTCGCCGTTTAGCGAAAAGCTTATTGTTCTGTCGTTGAGGTCGAGGAAACAGCCAACGACGTCTCCGATTTTCCACTCTTTGCCGTAGGTCTCAGGTCCTTGATGCCACTTCCTTCCAAGATAGCCGTCGAAAGCATAACTTCGATCATCTTGTCCCAACTGAATGTCTGGCGAGGCGGCAATATCCATCCAACCGATCTTCATGAAACCGGCAGTCAAAATCTCGAACTCGAAATACCATTTGCCCGCGCTGACTGCGTAAGTTGCTTCTGCCCGGTAGGTTCTTGTGTGGTCGCGACGTGCTCTCAGTTCTTTTTCGGCGACTTCATCATGTTCATGTCCTGGTGGCTCTAGGAAAATACCAAAAAGCTGAAGAGCACGGATGTTTTCTGCGGCTGATTCGCGGTTGGCTTGTTTGATACGTTCGTCGACCTGCTCATATGGCACCAGATGCGGAGACCGTTTTTGGGTGGCATCCACAAATTCGCTCAGTCCAAACGTCCATCCTCGTTTGATCTTTTCTTTCGCCCAAACGTTGTGAGTGTTTTTAGCTAGAGCATCGATCAGCGGTGTCAACTCAGCTGGCAGTTGAATTTCGTGAGTGTCCAAAGGTTGTGGCTTATACCCATTTTCTTGCTGGAAGTTTTGTGCGAGGCGAATAGGTCTTAAACGACACGGTGGCGTGTCTACGATCATGTGATATCCAAGAGCTTCGATCGTCTTCATGGTTGACAAGGCAAGAGTGATGTTATATTGCTTTTCAGTTGCAGGAAGTTTCTCGAAATATGTCAAACATGGGTGTTTGCGGCTAGTCTCCGATCTGAATTCACTGTAAGACCATCCCAGCTCGATTTTTCGCATAGCCCATAACTCATGCAAATTTTCCGCGTACTTTCCATGAACGTCATTAGCGTGGTGCATTAGCTGAATAGAGCTGATGTCGATTGGCGTTGGAACAAAGGGTTCCAGGTTGTTAAAGATTGTTTGGGGTCCAGCGTAAATATTTTTTGGTAGGTCTCCGAAAGACAAACAGTCCGTGATTTGTAGAACTCCATTTGCAGCCTCGACAACGGCCGAAAAGCCGCTGTGAGGACCGAATCGCAGTCTCCCTTGGTCCCCACCGAATATGAACCGACAACTGACTTTGGCGCTCAACGACATCACTGGAAAGAAGTAACCGTCGACATTGAAGTTTTTGAAAGTCCCATGCATCGCGTTACCATTGACGGTGAATCTGATCTCAGGAACGGTCAAGTCAATTGAGCAACCGACCACGTCTCCTTTTTGCAAAAGCCTGTGTCCAACAGTTCTGCCTTTCCCACCAAAAAACATGGACTTTCCGTCGAAGCCATAAGAATAAAAGTCGTCGCCGACTCCGTTACACCCCCATTTGTCTCCGGAGCCAGGAAAAGGCTTGAAACCGACACTGTTGGCCCATCCGATCCTGAGGTAAGGCAACTGTTTCGTCATGGACTCGATGTGTTCAACTTCAGCCTCGAAATACCATTTTCTGAAAAGCGCAGATCCTTCAACGACGCCAAGCATTAAGTTTGGCATCATACTGCTAACGTGATCACGCATGGCGGTTTGCAGTAGGAGGTCTTTTCCAGGCAGCAAATACTGGGTAATGAGGTTTTGCGAACTTCTGACAGCCATGCTGTTACCTTCGCAGAGGGAAGACAGAACATCGAGTACCTTGGGATCTCTACCGACCTTTTCCAAAAGAGAGATCACAGATCGAATATGTCCTTCGTTGATCATGTTCAGCGCTTCAGGGGATTCTGTCAAAACGCAATAAAGAACGTCAAGGATTCCTTCAGCTGATTGAGGGTTGCTCAATCTTCCGAAAAGCCAGTCAAGCCTCTGAGCTGAGGCGAACTGTGCGCAGTTGTCGTGGTTTCCTTTGATCATGGCGGCAACCAGCAGGTAGAGATAGGTAGCTATTTCTTCCCACATCACGTGAGTTTCTTCACCAATGATTCCAGCAAAATCAGGCATGGCTTCCATTTGCGAAAATTTGTCGATAGTGTCCAGAATCATGTTCAGTACGCCTTCTTCTTGGAACAAGTCCTGCCGAGATCGTAGAGCTCGATAGCGGTTCTGTTTGTCTTCAAAGTCCTGTTCATCACTGGGTTGAGCAAAGTAATCAATGAGGTCCTCCATAAGTTTCAGAACTTCGTTGAGGTCGACGCGGGTCCAGTCTGTAGACTGATTGCCCTCGTTTTGCAGCGCATCGATGCCTTTAAGAAACTTGTTTAACACCGAAGAACACTTTCGAATCACTCGAGCGGACTTCGACTCTTCTTCTAAAGCCATGAAAAACGTGTAGCAGTCATCCATGTGGCCGTCTTTCAGTGCCACCGCTTTCTTTTCCTCAACTTTCCCCAGTCCTTTTTTGGTTACTTCCGTCGTTTGATAAGAAAGCCAGAGCTGTGACTTGACGTGTTGGATAAAAGCGTTGGTTTCTCCGTAGCGGATTGTTGCGTTTCCCATACCTTCCTCCTCCTTCTCATCCAGCATTTGCTTCTTTGGATCTTTATTTTGGCACATGACGAAAGCTGTCAAATCGAAATCAGCCTTCTCTTTATGGTAAAGCTGAACAGCATTTTCCAGAACACCGAGGTACCTGAAAGTTGACAAACTTGAAAAAAAAAAAGAATTTGAGACTTTGGTTACCTTCCACTTGTGATGTGCTTTATCCGGAAGACCTGTTCCCAACCGACCAGCGCTCCGTGCCATTTCATTCGCGCCAGTTCCACTCTCCACAAAGACCGAGCCTGCTGCACTGCCGCACCGCCTTCGTAGATCACCATGCTAAAAAGCTATTCATTTTTTCTTTAAAAAAAAAAGAAAAATGCACTTGTGCTGTGGATGCTCACTCCAGTTTTCGGGGATGGTGAGACATTCGTCGTTTCCGTGGAATAACCGCAGAACATCATTTCCGAATAGAAACCCTGTTTCGATTCATGAATTTAAATATAAAATTCATTCTCACCCATGTTTCGGGTTCTCATGCTGCCAGAACTGACACTCTGAATGTTCCACAAAGTTTGATGGAACGAAGCTATCACCATATATCCTTTATTGATCGCCATGTGCTGAAAACTAAGAGTTACAGACGGAAGAAATTTTTTTTTCCTGATAAAAACTCATTTTTTCCCGATAGCAACAGTTAACACAACACCAAAAAGACAACAACTAGGCTTACTGCTTTGGGCGCATTTTCTCGAGGTTTTCCTTTTCTCATGTGCTGAATTGAAACCTAGAATGGGAGTGAAAAAAAACTTACGAGGTATCTTTCAGTAGCAACGCTGACTAGAATGACGTCATCTCCAACTCGAACCTTCTCTCCTTCGGAGCGTTGCTTCGAGGCCGGATGAATAGTCCACCAACAGGCCTCGCCTAAATCACTATTTAGTTTTCTAGGTTTTCGGACTCTTTCTTTACGCACTAAATGAGTGAACTTATTGATGAAATAAATAAAAAGAATTTCACGAACGTCCTGCAAAAGGATTTCAAAATTGAATATATTTTACGCATCCAAGAGAATTTGACACACTTTCGTTGAAAAGTTCTGATTCAAGGAATATATTCAACTGATCCGAGAAAATGAGTTCAGTAGTTATAATATTTCTGAACAACCTTCGTTTGTCTCCTGGACGCCTACATCGAAAGCGAGTTTGTCGTTTGAAGAGCAAGAAGAGAGACATGCCAAAAACTGAAATTCAATTGAAAAACGGAGATGAATCAGTGTGACGAAATCCCACCATTTCGCTTTGAACGTGTTTCAATTGCACGGCGTGTCCGTAGAGGAGAGTTTTGTGTCCTCCAGCACCCGAGGCTGACGCCGACTTCTGAATCCTGTGGTTGGGCAGTGGAATTAGCTTCAGTCTCACGTGTTCACTGTCAGCCGACATCATCTCTTGGAGGGCACGCATTGAAAGCGCGTTGTCGATGTACAACATGCACATGGCGATGTCCGGCGGGATGTCCTGAATTAAAAATTATGAATAGTGAAAATTAAGAGGAAAATATCTGACTTACCTTGTCGGACACGTTTTCCAGCGTGCACATCCGGTTGCCGAAGCCTTCTGTGCACAGGCAAACTCTTTAAAAAGAAGCGTGAAATTTACTACTGATGTAGCTAGACAAAAAAAAGTTTCTGCGAACTTTGAGTTTCGCGATTCTTGAAAAAGGCCTGGCAGACATTTTTTTTCTTCAATAACTAAGCAATTAAAAAAACCGATTCTATGAGAAAAGTTCACAAAATAAGTAAAAATTTTTCAAAAGGCGGTTTTGAAAAGAAGGTTGGTTCGTGTATGAGTCTCAGATTTTTTTAAAAATAAGTAAAAGGAAATAATTTGAAAAACTGTAACCTTTCAGAGCCCATGACGCCATCTCTGTTGTGGGACGTGACGCAAGAAAGGCACACAATGTCTCCCTGTAAACGACTTTTGAACTTCTCGAAAATAGGTATTTTTCCTCTTTAAAACTCTTACTAAAAACTCAGAATAAGTGATCAATTTCTTTCTCAATTTCAGATAACTTTTTTTGGGTAAAAAAAGGTCAGAAGCTCTTGGTGTAGAATTTGCAACCAAGCTGAACGTTTATACATAAATATGGGGATTTTGTGCTAAACCTTGGTTACGTAGTGATGTTCTTCGTCGATCGTCATGTCAACGAAATCGTCATCCATTTTTAGTTGTTGTGGGAAGCAAGAGTCAATAATTCATTAAAATCTTCACAAATGATAACTATTTCAAGTCTACGAAGACTAGCCTACTATTATGATAAATGCCGAGCAAATTAATGTAATGCTCTGAAAAGAAAAAAAAATTGCACTTTTTGAATACGTTCAAATTGGAAAATAAATGCGAGAAATCGGTAAGGCTTTATGAAGACAAAAATAAATGAACGAATTGAGTAATGTTGACAAGCGAAATGTTCACGGAACCAACAGAGAGTAAAATGATTGACTTAAGCCGCTAGATGGAAGGGAAAGCCTTGTTTCCAGATGGAGACTTCTGCAAAAGATTGGAAACGCGGAATCCATTCATCAACTTCGGAACGCTATGCCACAGCCCAATGTGCCAGATTAAAAAAAAAGAAACTTCCACGGTCTACCGTGGAAGACTTTGCTTTAATATATTAGAAAACATTTTAAAACATAATGTATTATAAAAGTCCCTTAAAATTTATTATAATTGAGAAGAGAAAACCGGATGAAATTTCATGAGCTCGGAGGATAATAACACAGGTTGAGATAGGAGACAGGTGTGATAAGAGGATCGACAAGGCCACCGCCAGATCAAACAAAAACAGAAGCAACTCGAGGGCGTGGGATTCGAATTCTGCTGCCTTTTTTTTTCTTTTTGCGCCGCTCGCCGAAAAAATTGCCCACCCGGGACCGATTCCATATGCTTTTTCAATTAGACAGCGCACTGAAGAGTTCGAGCCTTAATAGGGCAACGCTGCCATTCATAAACGATAGACGCCGATTTTCTTCGCACTCTTACTTTTCACTTAATAAAAGCTAGTTTTTTTTGTTTCTGAAAATTGACTTTCAGAAAACTTCATGTAAGATACTGATTTGTTTTGATTTTCGGCGAGTGAATTAGATATTAGGTGACCGAAGTACCAATTTTAGTAAGATTATAGCTGCGGAAGTCGCTCGCAGAGCTTTTCAAATGGAGATAGAGGGAATGGGAGTTTCCAAGATTAAATTCAGTTCAAGAATTTTGTTGCCCGAAATATGTTTGATATTATTGTCACCTTTTCTGTCGCTTCTCGATTTTTTACAAGGCTCCTCCGTATCGTTTTGTAGTGAATAACGTTCGAGTCAAAAGTATATAAACACCACAAAACCTGAATTCCATTGGCTCCCGCAAGTTTGAAAAAAATATTTAATTAGATTATTCAAGTAAGAGAGAATAGTAAGTATTGCTCCCGTTTATGACTGAAGTGAAAGCGCGGAAATTTTTTAAAGTTTTTCTTTCCATTTCGTGAGGACCTTCGTAGATCCGAGGGCTTCTTCAGGATTCTACTTCAAATGCCTTATTTCTCATCAAAAAAGTTTTGCCCGCACAGTGACGTCATTCTATATGCATGAAACGCTTCACGACATGAAACATCGGACTCAAAAATGTCTTTAGAAGTAAGGTTATTTTTGTAGTAAACTGAAGTGAATAAGGCACAATTAAACTCAGAGAAAGTACTTTGGAGAAGTTGAAAGAAGGAGAGGGTTAAACGAAAAATGAGAAGATGGAAAAAACGAGTGAATGAATTGGACTCTGGTTGGGTCGTTTCTGCGCCTCTTAGTATGGCTCTATCTTCTCGCCCTTTTTTCCGCAGGCTCCTGCTTCTTCATATTCGCCGCGCCTTCTTCAAACCGCCGAAAGAATCCAATTATCCCTTACACTCTAAACTACGTTCCTAAAAGTGTAGGTGGAAGTTTAATGTAAGAAATATTTGACATGAATTTCAAAAAAGTTGATCCGTCGATAAAATCTCGTTAAAGTTGAATAAATTTTTCACTCACATTTTTCTCATTTCTGTGGTCTCGTTCCTTGATTTTATTTATTTTTTTTTTGCCTTCTTTTCTCGCTTTCTAACTTTGAGAAGCTTATCCGATCATCTGGTATACGCCGCTCTTCAAGACTGAAGAATGGAATGCGTTTCAAATGAAATTTCTAGGCCTTTTTTTTCTTTGAGATAATGATTTTTCTATTTTACGGCTGGTTGACAATTTTTTATTAGGTAATGGTAAGCTTATCTAAATTTCTACATTTTTCTCGACTTGGCATTTCGAATAAACGTATGTTTAGTACAGTTCAGCTTATATTTATTAAAGTAGTGAATATTTTTTTCAACATCATCCAGTGGTTTTATGATATCAAACAATTTTTGAGAAAAAAATTTCTGAAAAATATATTCGTTGAAATTCAGATGAAAAACTGCAAGAAAAAAGTGAAAAATAGAAAAACCCAGGCCTACACCATTGCGTTTTCTATAAGCGTTCTGAAGTCGTGTTCAAATTTATTTTTTGTAGCTTTTTTTCCAAACTTGTTTCTACGATCGTTTAAACAAGTTTCATTACAAAATCTAAATATTTCTTCTCACTGAGTTGAGTGTCATTTTAAACAGGAAGTATAATAAATGATAATAGAACTGATTTACTGAGAAAGAATTTTTCATGATTTCAAAAAATCAATGTAACAAACGAACTTAAGTCAAGCTGAAAAAAAGAAAGTGAGCCAGGCAAAGTTAATGAAATGCGAGCAGCGAACGAAGTGACGTATTTGGGATACTCCAGCCAAATGTTTGCACTCGAAGCATCAATTTTCTTTGTAACAAAATAATCTGATGAGAATGTGCTGCAAAAAAAACGAACTGATTCTGGTGAAATAGGAACAATTTCCAAAGAAAAAAAGCTTCGAAGTTGAGCGAAAGGTCTTGGAATAAGATGTTATCAAGTTGAGGCTCCTCTTCTCAAGTCCCGAAAAAGCAGATCCGAAACTTTGAATCGACCTCGGAAGCAATGTAAATGGCAAATTTTGAGAGCCGCCGCAGCTGTCACATTTGTTTGAATTCGTGCCAATAATTTGGACACATTCTTTGCGCTTTTTGCGTTTCCTCAGCTCAAACAAGATCCGCTCGACTGTTCTTATGTTGCAGTTTAAATTTATTTGCATTTTTCAGTAAGGGTTGAAAATTTATTTAGTCCGCATAACGTTTTTAGAGATATCTAGGTATGAGTGTGCCCCTGGAAATATCTGTTTTATTTTACTTACTTCTTTACTTTGATACATTGATGGTCCAATGTCGCTGGCGATGTTCTCAGCGTGGACAAGTATGAATGTTCTTTTTTATTAAGAACAAGAGTAATAGGTTTTTTTTCACTACATACACTATGAAAACAAATATTTTGTATGAATAGAAGATATGAATGCAGTAAAATAACTAATGACAAAAATGAGCCCCCTCCCCCAACGAGTAGTATCCAGAGATTGTGAGATTAACAAGTTTAAACCCTAGAGAATCAGTGAAGGCGTCATAATCTATTATAGAAGATATTTTATTCCACAAAGGAATAGTTTTTAGAAAAACATCTTCAGAAAAACTGACCGTAAGTGCAAAAGAATTTCAACTCTTCTCTTTTTTTCAAAAGTTCAATTTTTTTCAATTTTCAATCTACCGCATTTCTCTTTCATTTATAAGGATTCATTGACACACACTAGACAGATCAGCGTGAAATCTAACGAGTTCACTTGGATCAAGAATTTAAAAAAAAATCGAATTTTTTTTTTTCACAATGACTATTTGGAAATTCTGCATGAAAGCAAAACGATCAAAAGGTTCTTGAATTTTATGTTTGTAAAAACGGATAGTCAATGAATGACGTTTCAAAATAGCACATAACCGTAGAGAAAAACGAGTTTCCAAATTTATGAATTATCTTTTATGAATCAAGTAGATAATTTGAAACGATAAACGAACCGTGCGAAGGAAGGAGACGTCGTCCTGCTCGCCTCCTCCCGTTTCCTCCTTGTCCGTCATTTTCGAATTCTGAGCCTGTATCCGCGTCTAGCGCATCTGTAAAATCTGTCTTCATTTTAATCTTGAAAATATTTCCGCGAAAAAACATGATCAGGATCTGTCGCTATAGAAAAGAGCATTAGGAGTTTTTTTTGTTGCTTTTTGACAGGCGTCTCAGTTCCAGCATATTTGTATTTTCAAAATTGAACTCAAACTTTTATTGAAGTTGATTTTTAAAAGTTTTTTTTTCAATTTCAGTACTACATGGTAAGTCCAGTGCGCCTAGTGATTTCTTTTACCAGTCTTTGAACTAATTTGGAGAATATTTGCAAATATCTTTATCGCTTTTATATATAAATATCGAGCTTTTGCAGAGCTTGATTGTCGGTTCGCAGAAACAAACTGACGAGAAAGGTATCAGCTAATGTCAGACCGGAGAAATAACCGGAAGGTGCACGAGAAAAGAGAGCGACCAGTGTAAACCGAAAATCGATGCAACGGGCAGGAAGTCTGAGCAGAACAGAAGTGTTACAGCCGTTTCACAAAATCCAAAAAAGGCCCAATAAACTTTTCGTAGTTCAAGAAGTCTCTCATCGATGTGAAACTAAATAATCTATACATCATCAAATCAAAATCTAGAAAAAATGAATATACATCTGTGTTAGAAGATGTTCTAGAGCTTTTTATTGGGACCTAGCTTTTAATTCTTAGATTGAAATTCAAAAAGTCAACAAAAAATTTATACCATCTAAAATTTCTAGTTCACTGGTTTTTGGTTTGACACGTTTTTTCCGAAAAATACTTCAAATCATTCGATCGATCCTATTACTAAAATAAGAAAATAAGAAGGAACTTAATTGAAACTGTTGGAGTTTTTCCTAGAAAGAAAAAAGGTATTTGAAAAAATGCGGGTAATAGCCATGGAGATTTCGGAGCTGGAAGCAATGGGCGGCTGTTTGGCCCGACTGCCCATGCTGTAAAAACGAGTTGGAGGCCGGCAACTGGCGAACACCGGAGCTCCTTTTTTTCGGCCAGTATTTTATAACAAAACCAATTTTAAATGTTGTTTTTTTCGGTATTGTTCTTTTTTCTACGATTCTGGCAGTCATTTCGAAAATGACCTTGAAACTCTTTCCAATGGATTAGTCTTTTCAAAACAGAACTCTGGAGGGTGTGAAGGACCTCGGTTCAGGCAGAGACCAAATAGGATCATTTCTGCGCGAAGCTCCTTTGAAAACCCATGCAAGCATTTTTTGAATAGGCGGCCATATTCACAGTTTTTGTTCATTAGTGTTCAATAAGTGGACAGAGCAATGGCTCAGGTCAAGCAGTCCTTTATTATTTTTTTTTTCTTTTTGAACTTTTCATCAAACTTTGAGCCAAGGTGAAGTTTGGTGAAGTGTCGGATTATCGAAATTTGATTTTTTATTTTCTCAAAGATCAATGTTTAGATTATTTTTGAAAGAAAATATCACAAAAAAAAGCTGTTAGAACGTTCGTTTTATTCAAACGAAACCTGGACTTGTCATAGTAATGTAATACTGAAATATATTATTATTTTCTAATGGATAATTAAGAAAAGAAAGATCGATAAGAGATCGGCAGAAGGAATGAGTCCTTGATCCAAGGTGACAAATCAACAAACTCCGACAGAGCAAATAATGCGCCTAAGGCTTGAGATATATATATTTTTTTGAGAAATGTATTAATTGATGCAACTAAAAAGTGTTGCTACGATTTTCGAACTGGACCAAATTCTTAATGCATGAGGAAAGGACATTCAAGACGTGAGATCCAATCGGAATACTTCGGCAATGGCGCCGAAGGTATTAACGACCGAAACAATGAGAAAGCACTAAAATAGAGAAAGAAACCATTATTCAGGTTTATAATTATAAAAATTCGGTGGGAATTGCTATGCGGCACATTTTTTCAGCGTTTCGTATTTCGAAGAAAACAATTTTGTGAAGTTCGAGTGTAAATTTGGAGATTGCAGGTGCTTAAAAGAAAATGAATTTGCAGAGCCATTCTCTATTTCATTACACGTGAAGGTTTTGGGAATGACGTCAATAACATACGTAAAAGAAAAAAAAAAACAGAAAAACAACGTCGAATCTGAAAGTCCCTCCAATAAACCTTTTTTCTTTCAAAACTTTAAAATTGGTTAGTTTTCCAATTTATCACTAGAATGGTAGACCGATGTTCAAATATAATAGTAGATTATTCTAAAGTCTGCGATTTTTATCAAATAAGTTTCGAGCTATATATTCTTCTCGTTCTATCTAGTAAAAGCTCTTGATTGGCGAATAACTGAACAAAGAAAAAGTGAATTTCCATAAGAAAAAGAAATATTGTATGCACGAGGAACTGCAAAAAGCTACAATTCCGTCAATTTTCTGAAGAAACATCAAGAAGGATTATTATCGAATCACCGGTCGGTAGAAAAGGAAATATTTTTAATCATACGAGGATCTGTGGATCTTGTACAAGATGTCTGTGTTTGAGCCTCGGCAAGAAAAAAAAACAATATTCTTAAATGAACCTCTCTTTCTCTGTTTCTAAGCAAATTCTGAACACCGTTACCTTTCTGAAGCTCTTGTTTTCCATAAGTAGAAAAAGAAATTACGTTCACCTGTGAATCAGATAGAGAATTTTGGATATGCAGGAACCCATCGGTCTTTTTCATCTCTGCAACATTTCCGTTTGTTGAGAAAAAGGAAATCGCTAGTCGGAAAGCCTGAAATAAACACGAGAAAAGAGCATAAAGTTGGCAACTGCAATAGAATAAAACTTTGAGGAACTAAAAACGAAACTATGACATGGGCAAAAGGAAGTTTCTCAGTTTTCTCATGCGGTTCACTTCAATATTTAATAAAAATCAAGTAAGCAAATCTTGAAAGAAGTTTTGAAATTTTTCCAAAATGCACCTTGACTCAGTCTATCGCAAGAAAAAAGTTCAAAGCACATGAGGGACTTTTTAAGGAAACAATAGAGGAACTGAGTCAGATTGAGAGCGAGAGAAATGGGCAAAGATGGAAAAAAGACACAAACAAATTGGGAGCCGCGAGATTCGAAGCTCACAGGCGAAAAACTCACCGCTTTTTGAGCTCTCCAGCTGGGAGCTCACACGTCTCGTTTCATATCTTGCACTATTCATTCCAGATTTGTGGTAGAGTTATCCATTGGGATTAGAATGGCTTTAAAATCTAAGTTTTCAGATTTATTTTTGTAAGCACTTCATTAGATTGCCTCTTGTCATGTCTTGGCGGATCCCCAGTAAATAGAGGAGAAAAGTTCCTTAAAAAAAGTGAGTGTAAACTCAGAACTTCAGAAAAATAAGTGTAAAGTTGAAAAAAACGGGATTTACTCGGCTCTGCTTTCGAAGGAGAATAATAATATCTCTACTAACTCTCCGAAAAATAGTCCCGCGCTCCTACAGACATTTCCTTGTTTTAACAGTTTCTTCAGCACGGTTCTTTCCAGTTTGGAACAGACTGCGCTCAAGATTTGACACAGCCACCCACTTCAGAAATTTTCTGGACCCTGTAAATCGTTTTTAAAGCGTTTTTTTTTATCGTGTTCCACCTAACTCAAATATCCTAATATGTAATTTATGTTTTTGTGTTTAAGTGAAATAAATAAATGAATAACGGAAGGAATATTAATTTTTTTGCCACCTGATTGTCTTATTGATCAAATAAAAAAATTATTTGTTTCTGTAACAATATTTTTTCGAAACTCAACGGAAATAAAAGTTTATTTGGAAAACCTGTAAACGTAAGCTATCTGGAGATCTAGGTCAGATAAAGGGTATAATTGGTTCATTCCGGACTATCAAAAGCTCAAATTTCTTTGATGAACTAAAATATTACTGAAAGAATCTCGAGAATTTTATAGATTCGCCTTCCATCTTTGAAATTCGCCAATGAGGAGTTTGGACAGAGTGTTTTGGTTGATATCTCTAATAAGTCGGGCATGGAATGGCTAATAAGGCTCAATGAAAGACGTTATATCGCAAATATACTACAATAAAAAGCGTAGATCGCTAGTCCAGTTTCAAATTGAACGGTTCTGTAACGTTGAAGTCTGCGACGTCCTTTGCTGTAATGAATTTCCTGCGGATCTCATCGCTGAAGTTGGATGGAAGCGAGGATGGTCTGCCTAGAACTTCTTTTTTTAACATATAAACCGAAAACAATTCCGAGTATTCCAAAGTGGATGTGTTTTTGTCCAATTTCTCACTAATCTACAATGAAAAAAGAACTGACTGCGTAAAAATTTTGTGAGTCCTTCTTGTACGTTGAGCCTCCGGACGTCGATGAATATCTCATCAAGAATTTTCTCATAGATTTCGCTACGTGCTCGCATTCCCCACAGGAAATCGTTGTGGTTGAAGTCTTTCAGCTTTCTACGAAAGAATTTTTCTGGATAAATTGCAAATAGCAAACTTCGCCTTTCGGAGGGTGTTCTTCGGGAGTTTCTGCATCAGGTAACCTTCAACGTCAAGCGAGTTGGCCAGCCAGTCCGAGTCCGAGTAAAAGAGATAAACAGAGGAGTTGATCCGCGAAAGGTCGTATTCAGGGGGCTCTTCCTGCCAATCTCATTATTTAGAAGTGACTGGAAATTTTTTGACATGGTACTTAGGAACGAGTTCGATAGATAAAATATTTTGTTATTAGTTTTGAAAAGGATTTTTTTTTTGTGATAGATCTACAATTATAGTCGGTCCGTCGTGTGCCTGCGTCTCTCTGTTCCCTCACCGGCGAGGTCAGGAAAACATTGAAATAGCACGTAAACATGAGAGAGACGACGAGAGATAAGGAGGGCGCAGAGAAATCCCTCCCTTTCAAGTAGCGAAATACGGACTATACAAAAATTGTTTTGAAAGAAGTATTATCTACAGGCTTTGTTAGTCGATATTCAAAATACAATGCACGGCTTTTTAATAGAAAATTCGAGAGCTTCGAAAATGGTGATCAAAATATTCTGAAAGATCTCCATTGGACACCTCAGAGATAATAATAATATAATAATAATAATATATTATTTATTGCATACGACGTTACAACGGATAATAAAAAAATCTGAGATAATGTCGAAAATCTAGGGTCTCTCCAGATATTCTTATCGTCATTGGAACTCGTTTTTTGAAATTTTAATAAAGTCGGTCTAGGATAATTTTTTCAGAGTAGTTGAGATGAGCCCTTGAGTTAACACTTGGAATTTCTCTACCATCTCTTCCTTAGAACTCACAGTGTGGTAGTAGCGGAGGTTGAACTGCTTGCCGAAATTAAAGCGAGCCATTCGCTGTGTTTTGACCATCTGAGCGAAGTGCAGCATGTTCCTGGAAGACGTGCCGGCAGGGTTGTGAGCCAAGTAAATTCCGATGCGCGACTGAGCCGCCCGTTTCTTTTTAGAACTGAACGACAAACCGCGTTGAACTGATTGCTGTTGGGTCCGCTGACGGCGAAGATGAAGTTTTCACAGAGAGGATTGTTGACTGCTTGGTCACAAAGGATATCCGTGAAAAGCTTTGTGAAGATGTTATTTGAGAGAAATTCTCCATCTCCGAAGATTTGATAGACCATCTGAACGTTTTTTATCCTCAACAAGACGAAGATTTGGGCAGACGTTGTACTGTTCGTAAATTTGGCCCAAATCGTAGAAAAGACCTTTCACGTTGGACATTCGTGTGACGGGTGCCATAGCAAAAAACTTCCTTATCTGGAAAATGTTCGAAAAATTATGAAAACTGATTCGAGCTCACTTTGTTGCTGAATTCCTGATCCTCACTCATCTTCGAAAACATCGTGAGAGCTCCTTGAATCGGCTAATAATTTTCGAATATGCCAGAGTATTTACCTTGACTGTGACCCACATAATACAAATGTGGCTGCTTGGTAACTCGCAGAACATAGTTTACCATTGCTGGTAAATCACTTCGAGCCATGTCTTCCCAACTAAAAGCGAGCACTTCGTTATTTAAAATTCTAATCATGTAATTAACGTTTTCGTCCAAAATCAAAAGGCCTGTTCTCATCAGGAAAATGAGAAAGACTTTTTATATCGAGTTTAAAAAAAGTTTCAATAGAAGTTCATCCTTTTTCGAGAAGATAATCGTTTGGTTCATATATTTCTCAGAGATATTACCGAACTATGCAAACAATTACAAATCAAAAAAATTCATCTTTTTGTATTTTAGAGCTAAATATGTATTCAGGTTTGTCAATAGAGGATATCGAATGAAGTAAGTTTATTGAAAGAACAATGTTAACCCTAAAGAATTCACTTGGTTCAAAAAAAAAAGATTTGATGGTTGAAATGAAGTTGGAAAGTAAGTTAGTTTCAAATGTGTGATAGTTATTTTCTGAAAGCGTTTTCTTGCTTTATGAGTTGTCATACCTAAACTTCCAAAAAGCCGGGTCGTTTGCTCGGAGTCGACTGTGCTGCTTGGAGTAGGTGTTTCCTCGCATGTTGCCAAGCCACACGTCGTAACCTTCGTCGGCGAAGATAAACCCTGAAACCGTTGAGAAATGTATCAAAAAATATTGTGAATCGAGAATAACCAGACCTGCAGACTGGTGAGGCAGGTTGAGCAGCCAAATAGAGCTGGTGCAGAGCAGGCCGTGCTGAAGGAAGATCACTGGTCGCTGTTCTCTCTTGGTACCTCTGTTCTCTGAAAACAAAAGTCAAGTTCAACCCGTAAAAAGTGGGGCGCAAACTTTTGCCGTGCGGGATTCTGTGAACCGTGAGAATATATCCATCCGAAGTAGCCACTTTATGTGTTTCAACTGGATAGCCCCAATGAGAGATTATTTCTGGCTGAAAATGTTCTCCGATTTTTTTGACAAAACTATTTTCATCAACTGTAGAACTCACAACGTCCATGAGAGCTTCAGGATCGATGGTGATATTTATTGGCTTCATTGTCGCGTTGACCGGAGGCGGCAGCGTTGGAAATGAGATTGTAGGAAACGTCGGAAATGTGTAGGCTGGAGGCATCGTTCTATTCCATTGCAAAGATGAAGCCCCCGTGTTATTGATTTGAAAGTTTAATTGGATAAATACGACTCGATGTAATTTCAAAGGTTTTAAAGTTCTGTAACAAGCAAAAGGTCGATAAATTTTCGAAAAGTTTACAGGTGTCATCAAAAATGAGCTCTTAGTATACATACCTAGCAAAAGGAGCTTCTGTCACGGGAACCAAAGGTTTCAGAGAGCCGCCCATGGTGAACGGACTGAATGGAGCCGGTGCTAGAAGATTCGGAGGCGCTCCGAAAACGCCGAGCTGTCCTGCAGATCCGAAAGAACTGACGACGTTTGGCAGAAGCGGACTGAGAGTGAAGGCCGGCGTCGTCGAGAGAGAGTCGTCGGCCATCGAACGGGGGGTGCTGCTCTCTTCGGAAGACGTTTCTCGGGTCAAAGAAGAGGAATGTAGCAGCAGGAATATAACTACGGCGAACATCATCCTTAAAGTTGTGTACTTCAAAAATTGAGATTTAAACTTTTTCTTCAATAGTCTTCGGTTTCGTCAGTGACAGTTTTCTCATGCAACAGGAATGCGGAGTCTTGAAGCGAGCGGTTTATTAGAAGTTATGATCGACGACAGCTTTCAAACTTTTCACTATATATTATTTGTTCTATTTCGAAAACAGTTTCGACTAAACAGACCGAATACGAACCTAGCCTCTAAATAGCAGAAAAATGCGAAAAACGAGACAATAAACGTTTAAAATGAAAGTAGAAGAGAGAAACGCGGGGACTTTCGACCGAAACTTCATCGAGAGCAAATAAAATGAAAGAATTCGTTCAATGAAAGCGCGTGTCACTGGTCAAAACAGATGAGCACGTACTTGACGAAAAATTTGAACAGAAACAAAAAAAAACTTGTCAATGGAAGCGAGTTCAAGTCGGAAGACCGGATAGAAAAGTCTTTAACTTTCTCTCTTAAAAAAGAGATCTGTATTGCGGTTTTGGAGGGGGCGATTGAAGGCCGACCGTTATTTGGGTCAGGTGAGACCGAAGTCTCTTCCTCACACTGAACACCGTCTTTTCTCACCTAGAAACCAAGAAATACTTGTTTTGTCCATCGAGATCGCTGACAAAGATAAGAACAGTTGAATAAAATTATGAACAAATAGAATATGCGTTTTCAATGACACGGTTTATGGGAGACGTAGTCCGTTAACGTGTTTTAGCTGCAACCGACGCTCTTGGCTCAACTCATCATGAAAATGCCTATTGAGTCCGTCTTTCAAAATTCTAATACTTTAGCTAAAAAAACTGTTGTTAATACTAACTGTGAGAAGAAAACTCGTCATCCCACCTTTCTGTTCACGATTTCTCGGTAAAACAATAGCTGTGAAAGCAGAAAAAAATGAACCTTTATAATAAAAAGTATGTTCAGATTGTTGGCAAAGTTTGCTTTTGGAAACTGCTTTACTTTTTTATTCTCCGAAATTTATTTTTTCTGTACGTTGAGAAGTTGTTCCATTAATCATTATGAAAGTTGTATAATCTTAATAAATATATGGTTAAACTCTTTTATATGTCCTCTATAAAGTTCATACAGTTCAGTCCTTATAGTTTTTCTCAATATTTCGAATAATTTCCGCCAGTTCGAATCATCCTGGTAGCCGGTAGCCACATCAAAGCGTGAAACCCTGATGGAACTTTACTTTTTTGATGATATTCAAAAATGAGATTGCTGTCCTTGGCTCCTAGTGAGATAATTGTAGTTTTGACTACATTTAGTGACGTCATCACGGGTGCCAAAGAAAACGATTACACGTGTTGATTAGGCTGATAAAAGAAGAGAATGGAAGTCGCGGAAAGTCATCTGCAGCTCGTTATCGCGAATTCGTTGCGTGTCCCACGAATCAGCAGTTTCAGACATCTGCTCTTCTTTTAGTTAAAGTTTCCTTAATTATTTTACGCTAATCGTCAGTCTCAAAAATTCTTCTCAACTTACGAAAAAAAAACTATAAATGTAAAAACAGAACCACTGATCTCCTTGCCTGCTCAAACGTCAAAGAAAACTTTTCATCAGTCGAAGACAATGAAAAAGGAGTAATTTCCTAGGGGAGGCTACTCGAGAGTCTCGACTCGAGACGCACTGGAAACTAACACGAGAACCAATCCGTTTTATTCGTATTATGTTTGTTCAACTTGTGAAGAAGAATTTTTTCTTCAGGTTAAGTCTGTTTTTTTCTTCTGGAGATCAAAAAACTATTCTATTTGATTTCAAATTTTATTCTTAAAAAGGTTTTACAGCTTTTTTTTGCTGTTCCAAATAAGAATCTGACCCAGGTGACGCTTTTGAATTGGTTTAACCGATATAAACATGTTTTGACGGACTGATCACCACATTCGCAGTGGGAGATGCTGTTTGCCTACAAATATGTACCTGATGGAGAAGTTTCCGCAATTCTTTTGTGATCACTTACATGCAGAAATGGAAAGTTCACTCTGTTTTCTTGTCCTTTTGCACAAAAAAAGAGAAAATTGTTCTTTAGAGCTCCTTTTCGATGACATTTGTGTGAGGTTTTGCCAATTCGCGGAAGTCTCGAATCATTTTTTTTTCGTTGTCAAAATTTCGTGAATTAATTTTTTTTTTTAGAGCTAAACTGAGCTCAGTGAAATACTAAAATGAGTACATTCATCACATATACTTTCCTCGTCGAAGTGAACTTTCATGTTAATCAAAATTTCATCGGGGCTGAAATTTGCACGCTCAACGAGGGAAATCAGTCACCTGGTGAAGTGAGCAAAGCAAACTTGTTTTTGATAGTTGAGCCAAAGAAAACCTCGAGTTTTTATTTTCATTAACTTACTATTTTAACTTTTTTTCAATTGCATAATTTTTTTAGAATTGAAAAATCCAAATCAAAGTTTAAATCGATCAGAAAAATTTTTAATAAAAAAATTTTTTTAATATGGGAGAAAAAAACTTTTTGAAAAAAATAAATGAGAGTTCAAAACTTTGAACGTAGTTTTACCATTCCAATACATGAATACTTCGAAATTTAAACCATTCCAGACTAGGAAGAAAACTTTTTAATGGTCAGACTTGCACCTCAAGGGCTACTGTAAACATGGCGTTTCTTCTCCGATTTCATTTCCGCTGAGAGTCAAGCATTGCACCAAGCCCCAATTCGGCCTTTCTGCGATTTTCACCGGTTATGAGCCAAAAACTTCAGTTTTTTTATCATTAGAAGACGTGCGATAACGAGAGATTATTTCGTTATCATAAGGCAATGTACAGCCTATTAGCTTCAATCGAAAATTTTCGTGTCCACTTGGATCCGCCTCCTTCTCAGTCTTATCTGGTTGTTGGAAAGCAAGCTGGTCTGACATTATTGGACAGTATCGAGTCCTGAGAACATATTTTTTCTCTCCATTTTGTTAAGATCCTAATGTTTGTTTATTTTTCCTACTGCGTTGCAAAGCAGCTTAGACCACAAAGAATCAAGGATCAATCACAAACTTTATGCAGCACCTTAGTTCTAATTTCATTTGTGCTTTGGTAGTCGCAACCGAACATTTTCTTCCCATTTGAATCAAAAATTACTACATTATCATTTTTTCATACGGATCTTTCAGGCAAAAATGACTTTCTCACTTGAACCTCCCTACGCCACCGACGAACCCGAGCATAAGTGAGTCATTTTAATAATTCGCTCAAATGTCTCAATTAAATTCATTTTTTTCTAGAGGGAACAGAAGCCGGGTAGCGTCGGAGTATGACGTCACAGCAGATATGACGAAGCCGTACTACAATCCTCGAGGTTTGGGTCTTTACGTCCTAAAACGGAGTTGTTGCAGGTCTGAACTGGTTCGTGACGGGTCTTTTCGTTGTGGGAGACCTTGCCGGAGGAGGTCTCGTGGCTCTCCCAACTGCCATGATCCAATCTCGTCAGTTTTTCTATTTCATAACTTTCCTTTTCCTTGCACTTTTTTGTTTCTTGTGGCTTCACCCATGTTTACTCATAATCTACGGGAAAGTCAAGTTGAGGCCAGTTTAAACCTTCAAAAAAAATTTTTTTTGGACTCATTCATGTTAGTTAAGTCCTCGACACCCTTTCAAAAAAAATAGAGGCCGCTGTCAATTTGCAGTGCTTCTTTTGATTTTTATCGCTTTCCTGCCTATCAAACCATAGCCTGTCGATAAAGCTACAATGTCCTTTTGGAAAAAAGGAAACGTATCAACTTTCACACACAATTTGAGACTGATTATCAGGGGATTAGTGTAAGAAACGCATTGAAAGATTTTTCGTTTAGCGTATTCTAAGAGTGAAAGCAACGAAGAAATAAAATTCACAAACTTGGGAAACGTTTTTTTTTTTCTCGATGTGCGCAAAGTTTGAATCGGAATTTTTTTTAATGGTTTTATAAGTTCTCAGAAGTTTCGAATATAAATATCATAAATTTCAAATATAAAGCGGATACTAAACGCTTTGGTTCATTTATTATTTAAAAAATTTAATACTTTCGGGGGTTTCGGAAGGGCCGAACTAACACCATTGTCAAGCTTGAGGAAAAGCTCCTTTCGTAGCTTTTATTCACTATAAAAAGGCAAAAACCAGTAGTTTTCGAAGCAATGATCCTTGTTTTTGCACAAACAGTGAGATTTTCGAAGAAATTATTAATTTGAAGAGAAATACTTACACAAGCTCAATGGGAAAATGAATCCGAAGCAATTTGTCGGTTCCGTGAAAAAGAAAGAGACAACGAAAAATACAGAGTTCTACGCGGGTCTGGTGGTTTGCGTGGTGATGATCTGCGTGGTGACCTACACGGCCTACGTACTCGGACTCAGTTGGAACATACTGCTCAACACCTGGCCCCAGTACCGTCACCACTGTCGCAAGCCTTATCCGGAGATCGGAGGTCGTGCTTTGGGTCCGATATGCCAGTGAGTACAGCCTACAGTTCAGAAGAAAAAACACTTTTTTTTCTTTCGTTCCCAAAAATCAGATTCAGTGAAAAGTGTGGAGATCCACAATGCTTTTTGATAGGAGTTTACTTTTTTGTTCCTTTATTTCTAGCAAACGTATTTCTTCAAAAAATGGTGTATATTTTTATACTAAAAAAAAGAAGTGTAACAATACAGTGGTCAAAATTTTACATTAATTGTCTAGATCTCATTTTCAAAATTCAGGGAAAAAAACCTTCAGAAAGTTTGCTTTCAGGACATTGGTGTCGATCTGCATTGACGTGACTCAATTTATGATCGCTGTTGTGTATCTTCTGCTGTCGTCGAAAAACATTCAGAACTTCATCAAGGCGTTCTTCGGCGGGAACATCAGCTTCTGTATCGTGATCCTGGTCGTCGCTGTCTGCCTTCTTCCACTCACTTTCCTCAAATCGCCGCAAGATTTCTGGTTGGTTTAGACTCCCCAAAAATTTCAACGGTTTTCATCATCTCGTTAAGCCGGCTCAAGATAAACATTTGTCTCGCGGGCAAGAATTACAGCGATAACCTTATAAGCACATGAGGTTGATTCCGAAATTAGTCTTAGTCGATGGTTTCGGTTATCAAGGAATGCAAAGAGGATTCATTCAGTAACGTGAGGGAAAGTGAATTGATGTCGGTTTGAATATTCAAACGTTCAATTTTGTTAAACCAATTAAATTGCTTTAACAAATGAAATTATCTAAGCGCGCATGAGATTTCAAATGATTGCTCTGTTGAAACGTAGTTTACTTTTCTATGAGAACAAGATGAAAATAATGAGAAAAAAAGCACTTTTTAACATTCACAAGAAACCTTGATTACTATTTGTTGACTTTTGATTCCTCTAGCTAGATTCCTTCCGCAAGCCATTTCTTCAAAACGATCCAAAAAATATGTTTTCACACTGTTCGATAGAGGAGACTGTCAATTTTCATAATCCGTTTAGTTTTTGAAAAAAGGTTCACTAAGAAAAAAGTTATGGCCAAAAAACTAGCGCGCGCAACTGGAGGCAAAATCTCACGGTTTACCCGCTGCCTCACGCTTTCTTTTTAAATTTTTTTGCGCGTTTCTGAACCGTTTTCGAATCGGTTTTCTGTTCTGAAAGGTTGTCAGAACTGAGCTTCATGTTTTGGTATGAATCTTTTGTACAATCCTCATAAGAATTTCTGATAAAATATCAAAAAAACTACTTAGAAAAAAAGGTCAGAAGGAATGTTCAGCTCATTTTTTTCTTTTTTTTCTAATCAGAAAAAAATTATTATCCTTTGGTTTGGAAATAGGAAAAAAATGAAAAAAATAATGTTATATCGAAATAAAAACAGGAAAAAGTGCAATTTGAATACGAAAAACGGCTCCTGCAACATTTAAAATGGCGCATCGGTGTGTTTGACGCAAACACAGCCGCGGACACTTGCACGAATTCTTCCAAAATTTCAAAAAAATTGCCATTTTTTTCGAGGTTTTTCAAAAGCCGTTATTTTTTTCGCGTCGTTAGATTTTTTTCATAATTTTTTTCATTGATAAAGTTTTTGAACGCTTAATAACATAAGCAAAACGTATAGACGCGATCCTATTCTCTCATGCGTCAACGAGGCAGACGAAAAAAGGAGGTTTTGGTAAAATTCACACATAATTTGATTCGCTGTCCCAATAATTATTTTTCATTCTGAATTTTTTTATTTTTTTGAACACATTGTGAGTTATTAAATCAAATAAAAAGTATACCATGTCGCTGAAATTTCTTCGCATTTCAGCTTCAAAGTTTGATACAAGCTTCGATCGCGTCGTTAGATTTTTTTCAAAATTTTTTTACTCGAAAAAAATAAAGAAAGTGTTAATATATAACATACTCAAAAATTTAGAAGCGTTCCTAACTTGGTTTTCTGAAACGCGACTGAAACTTGTCAGTTTTTTTCGTGTTAAATCTTACTTTTTCGCTTATTTTTGAAAAATACGTAGTTTTAAAAATATCCAGTCTTGTAGAGCGTTGTCGATTACATAGGTTTTCAGGAACAGTTGATTTTTAAAGTGGGACTTTAGCTAGTATAAACGCCTCAAAACCGTTTTTGCAACAAAAAAAACGTCATTTTGGTGGCGTGAAGGGGCGGGGCTTTGCGCCCCCTACCTCTAGCGTGATTTTTCAAGAGATTCATTAAAAGTTTGCAAAACAATACTCCAAGAGACATTAAAAGTTCATCTCAAAATCTCTGAAAAAAAAAAAAAAATAATGGAAAATATAAGTCGTTAACAAAAGAGGAAAGATGACATTTTGAGGTGGGCCGTGGTTATCGCCATGATCACTACGTCCTGCGCAGTCATCCTCATCATTGTCGGCTCGTCGATCGATCTCGAGGCTTGCCATCCTCTCAAGTAATCATTTTATCCTTCTTTGCCAAAAAGAAAATTAAACTGATCCTCTTCTGAGCGTGTGTTCTGTAGACAAATGCCATCGTTCAATATCAAAAACTACTTTCTCGCTTTGGGAACGTTTCTTTTCGCCGTCGGAGGTCATTCGGCTTTCCCCACCATTCAGCACGACATGAGAAACCCAGCTCAGTTCACTTGGAGCGTCGCTCTAGCCTTCTCCGGCACGTCTTCTTTTTCATTTCCATCAAAACGAAAAACCTTCCAGTTATGGCTATGATGTACATCCCGGTCTGCATCATGGGCTGGTACGTCTACGGGGACTCGCTACGCGACTCCATCATTCCTTCCATCCAGGTCTCGTCGAACTCTCTTGAAGCAAATTGAGCAAAGTTTCAGACGGTTTGGATTCAACAAGCAATCAACATTCTCATCACCGTCCATTGCATTCTTACACTCACAATCGTCTTCAACCCTCTCAATCAGGAAATCGAAGACCTTCTTCAAGTTCCTCACAGTCCGTGAGAATTTCGAACCGAAAAAAAAGCAATTTATGTTTCAGAGTTCGGAATTCAGCGTGTTGCGGTTCGAACAGGAATCATGTTTGCGGTCGTCGTAGTCGCTGAATCCGTTCCCGTTTTCGGACCTTTGCTAGACCTTGTCGGTAAGGATCTAAGCGTTCTCAATGAATCTCGTTTTTGTCACTACATATATATATAAACAAAAGTTCAAAAAATGTCTAAGGCTTGATATTTATATTAATCTCGAATTCGCAAATTTAGAGTTTTGATGAGCAGATGAATCATTTCCAGGTGGGTCTACCTTGACGTTGACTTCTGTTATTTTGCCGTGTCTTTTCTACCTGTTTCTACAAGCCTACAAAAACAAGGAAGAAGTAACAGGAAAGCCTGGAGACGGTCCCGTTTCTTTTAATGAGTTTGTTTGAAAAGTTTTTTAAGTGTTATTGCCACTTTTTCAGTGTGTTCAATTACAACGATCAAAAGACGATCGTTGTTTGTTGTATCATCATGGGTCAGTTCAAAACAATTATTAACGTAGGCCGAGAAATCGAGAACGATTTCAAATGTTTCCAAAAATCATAGGAGCGCCGTCGAAAACATAGGGATGGGCAAACCTAACGTTTTTAGTCGGAGGCTCTATGCAAAGAAATGGTATGCGCATTTACCGTGTAAAGGTAAGTTGCGCACTACTGGACAATCATTCAGAAGTTTTTTCTTATTAGTGCTGAAAAACATTAATTCAGAGAAATTTCTTTATGCTTTCCATTTTTTAGCATAATCAAAAGCTGGTGAAATTTCACAGGTTTGTCGCATTCTTTTTTATCTCATGCTTTTGTTCCGAAATAAAGACCAGCTATAACAAAAAGAGCCTGTGGCCGCTTCTTTCAAACAGAAATTTGCAGTGATCGGGGTGATAGGCGGCGGAGCTGCGACCTACTCGGCGATCGTCGAACTGACGACAACCGACTTCGCGCTGCCTTGTTACGTTTCCGTCTTCATGCATGTGAGCGCAACTTTGAAGGAATCCCCATCTGCAACCAAATGTTGCAGAACAACAACAGCGATCCTGGAAACGATCAGACCAACTGCTGCGGTGCAGCACAGGACTTCACACACATATCGGGGCAACAATGTTCTCCACCAAACTTACATTTTTACGATTAACTTTGAAGTTATTTTATGGATATTCTGTAGATGCCTCTTCGTTTAGAATATCTAATTTACACTGTCATGTAAAACAAAGTCTTGTGCATTGTACGGACGTCTCCGTAGAGAATTTCGAAAAAAAAAAACGTATTGTACAAAAGTGTAATGATTATTTTTTCAGTACTTGCAATATCTACGTGCAATCATTTTTGTTGTTGGATAAATTCTTGGAACATCCACCTTTTCAAAATTTCAATCGATAGAAAGAAAAAGGCCACATTTATTTGAAAAATTTGCACGTTTAGCGTTTATCAAAATCATTTCTTTCGATAAGTATGCCTGGCAAGGTCGAGTTTTGGCTGCTCTTCAATTTTTTGCGTTGAAAAATTTTTCAGAAATCGAAAAGTGGTGGCGGCAAAGGCGCAAAATCGGTCAGCAAACACATATCAAGCAAAATAACGACAATTTTCAGAAAACCAAAGTTTCAAAAGGGAAAATGGCTAAGAAAAGCAAAAACAAGGGAACAAAGTCGAAGGTCTCGAAAGGACCCAAAAACAAGAATTCAAAGGTTTAACTTCACCTTTTTTAAATAAGTTTTCGGCTTCAAGTGAATGTTCAGATGGCTAACAAGCGAGGATCTAAGAACAAGCCAGCGAAGAAGAGCAAAGGGAACAAAAAGGTGGTCCCGAATCGAACGAATCGTTATTGCTTTTGAGGTTCCTCCCAAGAATAAGCCTGGTGCTGGAGCCGCCAGCGACGAAGGCAGCGATGACGTCGATTTTGAGGTTCGTGATAAGTTAAAGAGCTGAGTGGATCACAATTCAATGAGAAACTCAATAAAATGATTGTGTTCTCACGTTTGAACGGGAAGTTTGAGGAGTTGGGTGAGACTTCACCCGATGGCACGTCGAAACCTGCCAAAAGCTCCAACGAAAACCATTCGGAGAAGTTACAGGTGACTCATGGTTTTATACCCAGAAAACACGTTCCGAAATTCCTAGCCGAGCGCTGCAGAAATTGAAGATGAACTGGACGACGAAGACGGTGATGAGAATCAGGAGCCTTCGCAGAACCCTGACCGAATAAGGAGCGGGGAGAAAAACAAGCATCAGTCGCCGGACAACGAGGACGACAAAAAGGACAACGAGAAGGTACAAAACGAGCCTACCTGAAGTCTTCCTCTCTTCCTCTTTTTTTCGATTCCATAAAGCTTTGTTCTGTTCTTTTCGAGATATGCAGATTTCTGCTGACAAATTTCTCTCCTTCAGGAACTCGGGTCTCTGAAATGTTCGGCATGTTCAACGACGGATGAGGTTCATCTTTTAGTTTCCTAGAAAAACAACAATCTTGTTCAATTTGGGCGGTAGAACGGTTACGTGTGGCGTTTATGTTAAGATTGAACTTAGAACCCCTTTTTCTCCTTCTTTGATATCAAGGAGACGCTCCAACTTATTGAAACACATTTAGAGCGAGAACAAGAACCTAAAAAGCATTCTATCTTTACTTTTCACCTGATTTTTCAAGAGTTGAAAGCTTTTGAAGGTGAGAATTGTCTTACGTCAATGCGGCCACGTGACATGCGTCCCTTGTGCACTGAACTATCTCAAGGTCTGACTAGAATTAGTTAGCAATTTTCTCTTTATGTATATTAAGATGAAAATTCTGGTGGAGGGATCGGCCAGAATAAAATGTCCGAAGGAAACGTGCAAACTTCGGCTCCATGAAAACGACGTCAATGCTCTTCTTGATGAGAAAGAAGTAGTTCTCAACCTTTCCTCTAAAAAAAATCATCTTTGCAGCCGGCTCTAGACGACTATATGCCAAGAGAGCATCGCATATTCCTTCAGTATAAACACAACAAACACTCAACTTTTTGCGCTATTCCGCAAATTATCAAAAGATGTCCTTTTTGCAAGGTTGTGAGATTCATGAAAAAAGTTCAACTAAACGAAAATGCCCCATGCTGGAATCGAACCAGCGACCTTCTGTTTACAAGACAGACGCTCTGCCACTAAGCCAATGAGGCGCGCGGCAGAGAGTAACTAGACAGCCAACTAGACAGCGGCGCAAAAGAACGTCAAGGAGGGAAGTCTGACTCTGAGATTCGAAAGTTAGGAACTCGCAGAATCAACATGTATAAATCAGAAAGAAAATCGATTGAACAGGAATTTAGAAGAAAATCAATTGAATTTAGTCTGTTCCGGTTTTAAATGTCCAGCAGCTATAGCTGTAAAGCTTATAACTCCGCCCCTACTGGCACAGTCTCTTTTCGCTTCGATTTTTTATCGCGCGGGATGATTTTTGATTTTTTTTTTGTTCCATAGTCTGTTCCGATTTTGATTGTCAAGCAGCTAACTCCGCCTCTGCTGAGACGGTACCTTTTCGCGTCGAAGTTTTATCGCGCGGGACTAATTTTGATCTTTTTTGATCTAAAAGATAGAAAAATAAGTCAAAAATGCAGCCATGTTAAAGTTTTATCGTCATCTGCGATGAAATATTGACGCGAAAGATATTGTAGCCTTGGGGGTAGAGTTAGCTACTTGGCATTCAAAATCTGAACAGAAAATAGGAATTCAGAATTGTATCTTCTTCTTAAACTCTCGTCCACAAACCGTTTGTGACAAACGTAAGTTGCAGTGGGACCTTCTTGATCGGAAATATAGGTGTTTATAATAAGTTTGAGAATTAAATGAGGGTTTGTTCGTAATTTAAGCCCAGTTTTTAAAGAACTACACCGGTAGAAGTGATCACAAAGCGGCTTATTTATCCGCAAAAATTTATTCAGGCGCAGAGATCGTTAAAGCTTTTACAATAAAATGGAATAAAAACTTTCATTCTTAAAAAAATTCTATTTGCGGCGCTTTCTTACATTCAAATTTTCGCATCATCTTTTTTTTAATTTTCGGACTTCTAGTTTTCTTCAACTTGAAGACTTCAAGTATGCAAATGAATAAGAGGCTTTGATGAAAAAAAATGTGTGACCTTCTTCTCTGCGAAACTTGAAAAAGTCGTAGAGGATTCTGAAGAAAAGAGCCATTTTTCATTTCAAGAAAAATTCCAGTCGTTATACACACACGAAGAAGGCTGCAACTACGTGAGGTGCGCGAATAAGGCTTGTCGGACCAATTTCTGCTGGCCTTGCGGCAATCCGATCGGCCTTCCAGTCAGCCACTACACCTACGGTAAGTGAGGTCGAGTTCGGTCAGGTACGGCTTCAGCTTCTTCTTGTCGCCTTGGCTACAAGGACCTCGAGAAAAGTCTTTATCCGCTTCGGATGCTCATCGAGGTGCACATTGTCGCGCTTGTCATCGGCTTCCCTGCCGCCGTCCTTTTCTGTTACTTGGCATGCTTCTTCTCATGCGATCACCTCCTTATATGTTTTTTTCAACTTCAGTACATCCCGATGTTGGTTTTCGTTGCCGTGCCATACAGTCTGATGCGTCAAGCGTGGCTGGACGCGACGGAACGGACCGACTTGCTGACGCCGGCGGAGAAGGCCATTCTTCTCTTCAAAGTGAGCTGCTGCGGCTAGATTTCAGACTCAGCGGTTTTAAGCTCACGATGAAGCTTCTCACCGGCCTTCTCATTGCCATGCCCATCTCCCTCGGAAGCTTAATCTCCTCTCTATTTCTCCTCAGCCTCTATAGTTCCATTTTAATCGTCAAAATGTCTCCCTACGGCAACGTAAGATTCAAAATTTCATCTTACTGTGTTGACTCCTTGTCTAACTGAACTAGTTGCAGAGCAGAAGAAAGTATGAGAGAGTGCTTTGCGTGGTCCGATGGGTAGGGCGGCTCTTCAGGATCGGCCCCTATGGCGAGCTTCTCAAGGAGGCTGAGAAAAACAGAGAGGAGCTGCACAAGAGGTTCGACCAGTGCAACGACTCGAGCGAACGCGGCAAGATCACTGGTTCAATTAAATTTACCAGGGAATTCCTACCTCATTTATTTCAGACCTCGAATCTGGTTCTTCTTCGAACGGCAAAAAGGCCTCTTCTGCCAAAGCCGAAAATGACTACGTTGTCAGAATTGGAGACAAGAAAAATTAGTAGAATTACTCTCCATAACTATTTCCTACCTGATGTGATTCATTTGTTTTTACGAATTAAGGGTTATTAAGTTATGCTCTCACTTTTTATGATCACAAAAAAATTTTTTTTGAAAATTTTCATCGACTACTGCTCCGGATATTTCGTGTGAAATCATTATGAATTGCCGATCTACCATTTTTATTAAAAGAAATCCAAACAACTGCATACAACATCGAGCAAGAATTTTTCGACTTTGATAGACTTTTTCGAACATCAATCACAAAGAAACAATGGAAAAGAACGGCTGAATTCTCGATTTGGGAGTGAATTCAAGCAAAACCGTATATGTGCGGAAGAGAAAGAAAAGGAAATACAGAAAAAAAGATACGTTGTTATATTACAACGCTTTGAAGTACTCACAGAAGATGGAGAGGAAACTATTTCAGAATAAAAATTATAACGTATAAAACTCGAAAGCAAAAAATGATTTCCAAGGAAATGTGGTGATACTAAAACTCACTTATTATGTGAATTGGTTATATTTATTGTACCCTTTGAATGGAAATCTTGCTCAAAAAAGGAAAAAAAAAAGTTTAGAAGTTAGTTTCAATCGTCGATCAATTTGTTCATTTTCTCACTTTTCAGACACGAGGAACCTTAGATAACTGCTTAGTCCAGCGCGAGGTCGGTACATTGTCGGTACATTGAACATCTCGCAGATGAACCGCTTATTCGCCGCGCTGGGCTCGCATTTTCCTTGGCGCGACCTCGGAATTTGCAAGTTCAACTTTTCGGTAGTTACTCTGGGTGAGTGCTCCGTAGCTCTTCTGGTGAAACTGACCATTTATAACCATGTAGCAAAACTTTAAGTGACTTTAGCACTTATTTAATGTGTCTGTGTGAAGCCTTAATTGTGTGTTTGTCTGATTTTTGAAATTGCTTTTTCGGATTTTTAAACAAAGGACGGCTACTCAAGGGTAAAATCTAAACAAAAAAAAAAGGTTGGAACTCTTGATGAACGCGGCTAGGTTGGTGGCGATTACTCTAAAAGCATTACCGAAACCGCATAAAGAAAAATAAAGGCTGATAAAAATAAATTTTTCGGTTGATTTTTTTTTTGTTTTATTTTCTATTTTTTTTCTTTGAATGCGTAAAACTTCAAAACCAGTAAGAATGTCTGGATACAAATAGGAAAAAAGATGAAATCCAGTCTCCGTTGAATTAGTCAGCAAAACAAAAACAGTAGTGAACGAGAGATCATAGAACGTATAAACATAATCGATAAAAAAGGAGCACATAAAACTGAAATGGCAAAAAAGGGGAAAACGCTATGCGTGGATTATTACAAAGGGAACACAATAAGTATCGGCATGAATCAGGGTCGCACGGAAAAGATTTTCGGAAGAAAACTTGAATTCGAAGTTCTGTAAGGAAAACATACTTTGATTTCAAAAAAGTGTAGTTGCGGAAATCTCTTCTGTGAAGTTCTGGCATGAATGGGAATTTCGGAATTTTTTTTTTTGGGATAATCCTCGAGGATTTTGAGATTTAATGGAAACTGAGAGCAAGAACGAAAGTTAGAATGAAGTACACATACACAGTGGAACTTTATTACATTTTTTTTTAGCAATGATGGAATCTGAAAACGAGTCGAGAATTGGCGAATGTTGTTTAGTAAGAAACAGAAAACTCTCACCAATCGGCCATTCTGGAAGGTTTCGGCTAAAAAGCCAAAAAGAAGTTTAAGAATAAACCTCCATTCTGAAAGAAAAAAATCTTTGAGAGTCTCAGGAATCCGATAGAAAAGAAAACGGACTAAGGTCAATCTACTTGATTAAACCCTCTCATTTCTTCGAAAAACGTACAATTGCCAGCCGTGGCTGTGGCCTGAGCGACAGAGGCGATCGGCTGGACATTCTGTTGCTGGGCGACGAGCGCATCGACGTCGACGGTCGCTGATGTCATTTCGGCCCTAGGACGCTTCGTCGTCGGTCCGTCTGTCAAGTCGTCAAGATTCTCGTCTTGCGACGTCTCGACCCATTCTGACGCCGCGTGTTTCCGAGCGCTCTGATGCGCCGCTCTGAACTTATCTATGAGGTCGTTCACTGAGTAGATTATCTTTTTTTTCTGACAAAACTCTTTGTTTGCAACTAAAAAAGTTCAGTACATTGAGTTAGTTATTCTCACTTTCAGGCATTCATTAAAACGTCTGTAATTTTTTTTGATAAGGCTTCGAAATTTCACAACCTAAATATCCCCGAAAACTGGTTCGAAAAAATTTAAACCTTCTCTTTTTTTAGGAACTATATGTGAATGGAAGGCTCTGATCATCTTTTAACGGAATACACACCCGTCAGGACTAGAAGGGACTTCTGAAGAGTCGGGTTCGGCGGCGAGAGGAACAGTCGAAGATTTGGCTTCTTCGTCTGCGTCCGCCTGGCTCAGCGCTTCGATCAGAGCGGCGTCAGTGTTCTCTATGGCCATGGCGGTCTCTAAGGCCGCCTCGTGTGACATCGAATCTACTCGGCTCTGAAATCTTCACCTTCGAATGCAAAAACATTTAAGCCAGAATATTTTTATGGTACTCTAGTATAAAAAATTAACAATGCTGAAAACTGGGCCACAGCCTTAGGCAATCGACTCCAACAACATCAAGACGTGGATTGAATAATCATTTTTGCAATAATTAAATTTTAAATGACAAGTAGCAAACTATGATTATGATTTTTAAAAAGGCGTAGACAGCTCTTCGGTTAGATAAGTGTGTTGTGAAGCTCAAAGTTACTGAATTTCGAAAATTCTGAATATCCTATTTTCCACAAAAATTTGAGTGAAATGCGGCTAAAGCAAATGAGCATGATTAAGAAAAAAAAGTGACGTACAAGTCCTCCAGAAGTCGAAGAAGACGCGGCAGAAGTGGACGGCACCTCAGCCGAAGTTCCAGGAAGATTTTCCTGACTGGCTGAAGGTGAGGCGTTGCTCAAAGTCCTCGTGCGAGCCACGCCATTGGCGGCAGTTCGAGCCGGCGTTCCATTGGTTGAAGTAGATGACGTCACTTGCGACCGACGGACCGCGGTTCTGCCGCGTCGCAGCTCGGCTTTTGGCAGCCAGTGATACAGCTCAGTTCGGCGGACGTACGTCAATTCCACCTGATTAATTCTTTGGATTCCTCAAAAAAAAGTCCGAGGCTTTGAACCTTCATGTTCTCCGTGTAATTCTTCATCGTGGCACTATGATTGGCCAGCGTCTTTTGGAAATTGGCGATTTCCGTGGTCAAATCCAAGTTCTTCACTGAGGCCTTGTCGAATTCGAGGCCAAGGAACCACAAAGTGCAAACAGGACTTCTGGAAATCGCATTCTGATTCGAGTAGGGGCGTAAATGCTTCCCGCAGAAATTGGTAGCCTCATTCCCATCAATTTTCGTTCATTTTTTTTTCCATTTTCTTATTAAGGTTTTTTGGTCTCCATTGTATTTTTGTGTTTAATAGTACCTGAAAACATGATAAAATTTTCAAACTAAGATCATCCTCATCTTTTTCTCTACAAGTGTCCAGGGGCGAGAGTGTCGTGAAAAAAATATAAAAAAATTTTTGAGTTTTTCTGATACTACTCTACATCAGAAACGATATGAAAAACAGAATGAATTTATTTATGAAAAAAATTTGAATCAAGAGAAAAAAATTTTTCTTTTTTTTATGCATGAAAAAGATATCTGCAGATTCAAAGTAAAAATATTTCAATAACTTCATTTATGCAAAAAGCATTCAAAAACCTTTGTTTTTATCAATTTCACGTTCCATAGGAGTTTAAATATGAATAAATGAATTTCGCAGTTTTTACGTTGCTTTCAAAATTTAATATCACTATTCCGTTACCTGAGGCAACTTGTCCTATTCATTCGAGAAAAAAAAAGAAGAAAAACAAAATTATTTCTCTGAGAAGAAAAAGAAAAAAACGAACTCGTATCCCAAATCGAATTGAGCGGTCGGAATGGGTTTGTACTGACGCGGATTGATGTGGGCAATGTTGATGCATTGATTTCTTTCGAAAGATCCGACGAGATGTCGAATTTTCGATTCGACGAATCCGCTGTAGATCAAATGCTCCTCCTCGGTGGGGGCGGCGCATAGCAGAGCTGCAAGACACGCAAAAATGAAAAAAGGCCAAAGGAACTATCTCGGCTCCGCATATCGAAAAAACTTTCTATCAGTGAAATTCTTCCCATACGTCGGCTGGATCCCACCCCAAGGTGCGACCCAATTCCGTACATTTTCATATTCTTTATGGGCACAAAAGTCTGGAATGGGATGCAGCCAATGTAAGATTGTCTCCCTATTCTACTTGATGGCTAACATTTGGAAAAAGCAAGACATATGATTAAAAAAATATTTTAAAAGTTAGTAAAATCAGCCGTTATAGAAAGTGTTACAAAAAGCGTAAAAAAATATTTTGGCTCAAAATGTTTTGTTTTACTGAATGCACTACAATGATGTCGAACTTCTCATGAATTTTCCACTAACAAAATGAAATTTAAAAAATTTTTAAATTTTAATATTTGAAAACATATCTTCCCATACCCTATAAAAAACTACTAGCATGATCCAAATAAGCAAACATTGAATTATACCATTTCTAAGCGGAAGACAAAAAACATACAGATGAAATGCTTGTAGCGGCTGAAAAAGTTGACTTCTTCGAAAAGTCGGGTCCATGAAGCACCGTGGTCGGAAATTTCCTTGCAGATTTCGAGACCTGATTGAACCAACAAAGGTTAATTTTGCAGGTTTTCTTTCTGAAAATCACCTTCTTTGAGCTCGTTAACGAGAATCGTCCGCGTCGAGTTTGTCACGTTGAAAGTGGAATTCTGTTCTGGGAAAGCCGGCGTCAGAATTGGCATCAGATGATATCTGCAAAAAAGGTGTTGCATGGGCTAAAGACAATTGGATATGAAACTACGTTTCCAGTCTCGAATAAAAGAACCTCCAGTTCATTCTAAAAAATCTGTCAGAAATAAGGACCATTCAGACTTGGTGACTTATTTTTTTTTTCCTTTCCCACATCTTCTTTTTCCCGAAACGACAAAATGAAACGAATTGTCAAAAATTTTGAATAGTTCTTTTTTTTAGAGGCTAGCAGAAAGTTGCTATTCTTTTCTAATTAATAACTCTTTCAGTTTCTTTCCCAAACTCCTTTTTTTCATGACATTTCAAACATTTAGCTGTTGGAAAAAAATCATGCTACTAAAGAGGCCCTTAGAAATGCGCGGACATGTCCGATTCGCGTTGCCAAGATCCGAAAAATTCGGTTCTTCTCCTTCAGTGAATTTTTTTAATTTTTTTGTTATAACCTTTATTTATATTTCTGAAGAAGCCAACCGAGTCAACTTTCGATCAAAAGCCGAAAAAAAGAGAAAAAACCTGTCTCCTGGCTTGGTTCTAGGGTCCCAAACCATGTCGAGCAAGTTGGAAATGTCCGGGCGCTCAGTCTCCATATTCTTGAGAAGAACTGGATGAGGCCAGGTCCAGGAGCTGAAGATGAAGAAAAACTTGAGGACGAGTCTCGAAGCTGTCGCGTTTGGATAGAGTTGGCAAGTGCGCGCCACCAAAATCGCCCAAGAAACTCCGCCCAGAAATCCTGGAATTGAACTCATTGGAGTTGGAGCCAGAAAGAAAAAAGATGAAACCAAGTTTATTCGAGTAAATTCCATGATTTTTAGCCCAAAGCTTGATCGCCCGAAGAGTGAGAGAGAACTCTTTCTGACGAGGCACCAGACGCAAAATTTGATCAGCTACACGACAACCTGAAAAAAAAACTTGCTCCTTTGATTGAGGATATATGATTACCGTTGAGAGATCGAATACTGGTGACGTCAAGATTTTTGAGAAGCATATCGTCAGTGAGTTCTTGGTCGTCACTAATTCCCTAAAATTCTCCGAATTACAAACCGGAACCCAGATATTTTCGAACCTTCAACGCTAAGCGAGCAAAAAGAATGTCCAACTCGATATTGGAGTACATGAGCTTGATAACTGGCACAAAAGCATCTTCTACACTGTGAAGGTCGGTGACGTTTGGATCCTAGAATGAAAAGAAAACTTACTTTTCAACTTTTTTTTTGTAATCATTTAAAACCAGTAAAAAAAACTAACCGCTTTGAGCATATCGTAAAAAAGACCGAAAAAGTCGGATTTTTCGACGTGTCGTGGGGCCACGGCCAGAGAATCAATATCAGCGCCTAAAATCACATTGTTACTCAAAACATGTTTTCTAGAGAAAAAGTTTAACGAAAAAATGATGCGATGCCTTCCACGAAAAATGGACCAAACAACAAAGAATAATAGGAATGCATATTTTTCTCTGGTAATACTCGAGATCAAAAACACACTGGGCAGTGAAAAACAGATAATGTAAAAGAAACGTAAATGAAGAATTGCTTAACGGAAAAACTTCCATAGAAGTTACTCATCAGAGAATCACTCAATAAAACAAAAATCTACCTCGAGTATGAACACCCAGCCGATAAGAGCCGAATGTGAAAAGCTTCCCGCCAACGTCAGCATACTGCTCTTTCGGCAAATGGGCAAACTGTAGAATGAATCATCATCGCAAAAAATCCAAAAATCTCAAACCTTTTGCTCTGATACTTTTTGCACCCAATCTTTGACAATTTTGTTGACCTTCCGAAGCACTTCTATGCGGGTTTCGAGTTCTTGATGCGTTTCAATCAAATCGTACGAATTCAAACATGATATCAACTGAACCGAAAAAATTAGATTGTAATCACCGCTCGTTGATTAATTTCCTACTTACTTGAGTAGACACTTAGTATCAGAGACACATATAAGGAAAGATTACCTCTGAAGTGAGCCGCAAATCTTTCTCGTCGGGCCTGACAATGGATATAGGTTGGCTCACGCCTAAATGTGGTGTGTCATCTGAGTCATCGTGTAATGATGATGCCCTTGGGTCACCGACCATTTGCTTTGCGGTTTCAATACTGTAATCCAAAGGAAAATTTAAAGATTTAAAATAGAACGATCAAAATAAAATCGAGGACTTCAATGCCAAAAAGACAAAAACTCCGTCATGTGTTCAAATCGTGACGAGGAGCACAAAAGAAAAAAAAGATAGTATTCAAAACGCTTTTAAATAAGACGAGAAAAAAAAAGATATATTTACTCAAGTAAATCAGAAAAAATGAAACGAAAAAACTTTCCAACCGGAATACGAAAAAAATGCTCGTAACATGAAGTGCCCCGTCTGAACTTTGCACTTCTGTGTACACAAAACTGCGATACAGTCTTTTCAAAAAGAATTTGACCGATCAAATCGGTACAGGTTTTTTCGTCGGATGCGAGAAAAATTGATGAATTCAGACTTCTCTGGATGGTTTGAAACAAGCGATGCTTTTCTGGATTTGAAACTAAAAAAAAAATGAAAGTTTGTCATTTTTATTCCGAAAGAGTTGAATTAGAAATAACTGTTGTTTTTTTTTAATCGAATACGAAAAAAATTGTCATTTTTATTCCGAAAGAGACCACATCCAAGTTTTCATATACAGTTGCATTGAAAATGTTTGAGAACACTTTATAAAACTGAAAAGAAAATATGATTTTTCCATTATTTATGTGCGCTTGATTTAGAGTTCCGAAGCGTTGGACGGAGCGTCTGAAATCGACAAGGTTCCGAAAAAGATAATCATGATAACGCGAGAAAGAAAACTTACATGAAAAGAACAAACGAGGTTTTCATCGACGTTCATGATGGCCGCAGCGTTATCAAACTGCCCGCAGTAATGAGGTGCCGAAAATATAGTGACCAGTTTGCGTCCTGCGAAAAACTCGTATCCGTCTTGTACCACCTGAACCTTCAGACCCTAGTTCCAACTTTACTTTTGAAATAACCTGATGGGCACGAGCGATAAGTTCCAAGCCGAGAACCTGCAGTTTCTCAATGACGACATCACGTCCAAAAACGTACGAAACTCCACGACAATTCGACTGCCACCCCTTGAAACAAGTCGGTTAGTTTTTGTTTAGGGAGTCTATCTCAATGATGAACTTCACCTTTGCAGTGGGGTCTGGATCACTCCAAAGAAGGTCAATGTGTAAAGAAGGATTAGGCGGATCCATTGGACGAGACAGCTCCCGCAAAGCTTTCAAGTTGGTCAGCTGCAACCCGAAAGTAGAATCATTAGAGAGTCTCTGACCTTTGGGGATAGGCCTCCATGCATGCAAAGAATCTTCTGGCCAACGAGTCCGGTGAATGGCATCGACGAAAAAGTTTCCTGAAACGAGAAAGTTTCCTGAAGCCGTCAACTTTGAAATTCCCTCCGAACCAACCTGGAAGGACATCCAAAGCCTTGTGCTGGAGTAGCGGCGGTTGCACTCCTCGAAGAAGCCGTAGACTCGGTTGATGGCCGGACATTCGTGGTTCCCTCGCAGTAGGAAGAAATTTTCAGGGTATTTTATCTGCAAGTTAGTCTCACAGAAATATCTGGGCGGCCTGTTAGAAAGAACCTTTCGGGCTTTATTATTATAATATTCTATAGTATAGGGAAAACCAACAAAAACTCTCATTCCTCGTTGGCTCACTACAAAACAAATCTGAATTTCTTACCTTATAGCAAAAGAATAAGGAAATGACTTCGAGATTTTGATGACCGCGGTCGACGTAATCGCCAAGAAATAAGTAATTCGACCTGGGCGGGAACCCGCCGTGAGATAGTAGTCTCAAAACGTCTCAAACATTGAAATTAACTGAGAAAATACGAAAGAAACACCGGAGTACTGTCCATGAGTGTCGCCGCACACTTTAATAGGCGGTTCGACCTCCACCAACGACGGTTGAGATAGGAAAACAGATCTGAAAAAAGAGCCTTCCGTTCATTTTTGAGCTTCCTCCTCAGGTTTAAAAAAACATTTCAAGCGATTGGATAGCGTCTGTTTTGTTTATTTCTCTGACCAGACCTAACAAATATTTAAGACTGAATTTGATACAAAAAAGAACGTTCGAAAAGTAGGAACCTAGTATTCCTGGTTAAACACAAAGAATCTCCAATCACAAATGAAGGCGCTCACTTTGCAAGTACACACATATTGATCAAGTCGTTCTCCTTGACGGTTTGCGTCAGGCTCTTGGCTGGTTTTCCAACAGAAAGAACCTTGACGATGAGCTCGTCGATGTCCAGTTTCGGCAACGCCATCGTCGACCCCATCACAGAGTTCATCGCCGAATTCATGTTCGTCACATGTTCATAGCTTTTATCGTTTCCCATTTATCTACAGCTATTATGATTCGATAGGTGACCTTTAGTTAAGAACCTGATCACGAGTTGACGGAAAGAAAAAAAAAACGCAGGCGGATTCAATTTTTGCTCCGTCTGAATTCAGAAATGAGACTTACTTGCACTCATCCCACACGTTCTAAGTCCGATCTTTTTTCTCAACTTCAGAATGATCTTCTGACATTCTTTTTGAACTCATCGAAAGCTCAATTTCGGGAGTTCGATTCGGCCCCAAGACAGAATTTCTGGAGGCGTTGATCTCTTGTCGCGTTATTGACGCGTCAAAACGAGATCTTGTCGCAATGAGGACGTCTATTTGCCAGAAAAAGCTAGAATATCGAGATCTGCACCTACAAATAGCCGGATCTCGCTGTGTCACAATCATTTTCAATCTATTCGCTCGAGTAAAACTGAAAAATGAATCGTATTCTATCATTTTTGACTGTATTTCTTGTATTTGTTGGATATTCCGCCGCTCGTTTCTCCTGCGGTAACGATGTTCTTCAGTCCGGATTCGCTGAACTTATAGTCGCCAACGACTGCAAAGGCCGACTCCGTCAGTTGCGAAATTTAAAAAAAAACGCCAACTTTTCTTTTTTCCAGAGAAAATGGATTTATGTTGTTTCAACCACAGAAAATGCTACGAGGCGCAGAACAAGCGGGAGACGTGTGATGAGCAATTCTGCGCCTGCGCCAAGAACGCCGCTGAAAAACTACCTCTCTGCGATGTTAGTTTTTATTTCATTCTGAGCGCAATTCCATGAAAACAGAAACGCTCGATGGCGGAGTTTTTTAAAAAATCTGAGTTTTGCAGTTGCATGCCAACAACTTTTGCAATACGGCGAAGAACTTTGGGGCTGCAAATTACCCTCGACCTGGCTAAAAAAAAAAATAAAAAGTTTGTTCGATTTTTGTTGTTATTGTTCAGTTTTTGCATTATTGTAAATAAAATAATATTCGTCTTTTTTCTATGCTTCCTGCCCTGTTTAATGATTTAAACTCACATCTTACCGCGGATATCTGAGAAAGAGATGCGAAAAATCAGGCTCGCGGAACTCTTCATGGTTTTGGTTCTTCTCGAGAGCATATTTTGATACCTTTATTTACTTTGAAGGTTTCCAGTGTCGAATCCACAAGCATTGATAATTTTTTCTAACTCAAATAGTTATTTGAAGAAAGTCTCAATCACATTTTTGAAAGTTTCCTTTTTGGTTGAGCTTTTAGTTCAAACACCTCCGACACGTGCCTTGTCTAGGGAGAGCGCGAGTGATTCAGATGGCCTCCTCGGTGACCATTTCGGTTAATCCGAGGGGCCATGGCAGACCCCTCAGATGCGTCATGCACGTGCTTGTGTTTGCCGCCATCTCTCGCCTTTCCGACGGTCCCACCGAGCAATCGTTTTTTCAACATCTTTTTCTACCCGTCTTATCATTTTGTATAGCCGTTCGCTCCTAATAAAAAATGGTTGTATCAACTCAAGAACAAGCTAGAACCATTTTTTGTATCTATTTTCTTTTTCGAAAAGAGAGAGAAGTGGGAATGGAAGACCTCCTTGAAACCAAAAATCCCACAGTTCGTAATATATAAACCGTGCGGGCTTTCGAACTGCAATGAGGTAGGCAAAGCTTTTAAAATAGAAAACCGACCAAAAACTCATTGAAAGACCTTTCGAACTTTTGTTTATAAAAAAACAGTTTGACTCTTTTTTAAAAATCATTTTTTTTTCCTCTGCCGTTGAAGCATAACCATCTTCAAATAAGAATTTACAAATGGTACAGCTCTCATTTTCATAGAAAGAAGTACTTTGTCCTTCCATTTTTGAATCTTCATAAAGTTTATTCATCGATTTTCTCAGAACCTTTGAGAGATAAACTCTGGAAACCAAACTTCCAGTACTACTTTCCTGCCTCCCACGTTCTTGAGCTCAGCAGGTAACCTGATATTTTCTGTCAAGAATTCGCAGTCCTGCTTCAAATTCTTCGATACTTCTTATTTTCCCTTTCGAGTCCCTCTTGAATTATTGTCGTTTTAGGTTTTCAATAAAGAGATGGATCATTTGATGCCATCAAGAACAATGAAGAACTTACCTGATTTGACATCCTTTAAAGCTGATTTTCATATTTATCCCAGCAGTCTTGGGTATGCAGATCTCCGTTTTCTAATTTATCATTCAGCTTTCCAGCCGAATGTTTTTCTTGCACAAGCAACCCTAACTGGAGTTTCTACAGCCAACGCATAATGGGTCTCAGAGTGAGTGTTTGAGATAAAAGGAGATTCACTAAGCAATTGAGAACGTCTCCGGGCAAGTGCCGGTGGCGCCCATGTCCTGCGCCTTCGATCCAATGAGGACGTATGCCGATCGGAATGCGGTCGCCTGCCGCGGATTTTGCCTCAAATGGTCCAGCGTCACTATCCTTCCCGACGGTTCGCCTTTTCGACCCGCTTCTCGCAGTTCAAATGTTTCAGGAGGCTTGGAGGTACATGTCTTAAGAGGATGTCAGGAGACTCTCATAGACTCCTCCATCAATCCTCCGCCGCAGGTTTTTCCCACCTTTTTCTCGTTATTCGCTGCTTTGAGGAGCCCAAGTGTTACCAAACGCCGCACGACATGAACCACGAGGTCGGCCAGGAGTACATAACTTCTTGCTACTGCAATCACTTCATGTGCAACTCAACTCAGGATTCCTTAGGCCTCATCTCTATTACCTTAGTCTTGTGTATTTACAAACTATTTTCCTAGTACCAACAGCGTTAAGATACTTTAAAACATTCGATCCTCAAATTTCAAAGTAGATATGATGAAAATGTTTTGTTTTACATTTCAGCAAGTTTTACTAATATTTATTCACAAACGTCTGAGTGTTAAAAACTTTTTTCTCGACATTGTACCTCATTCACTAAAATCTTTCGTTTGAAAATATAAAATTGATCGATTGACCGTCACCAGAGTCAAATAAAAATCTTTAAAGAAAAAGCCGACAAAAGGTTTTCAAGTTTTTCGCTTGTTTCGTACTAAAAACCCCGAAAAGCGAGGCTTCTCTGTAAATATTTTATAAACGGCCTGAATCATTCTGGAAAGGTGAAGTATCAGAAGTGTAGAACGTGACTGGGAGGAACCACTTGGCCGCCGACGCCGCGGCCTCCGAAGACGTCGACGAAACGCGCCACGTTGTCAGAATCCATCTGATTTTGTTGAACCGTCGAGTCCAAAAAAAAAAAACACGAACCGACAAAACAGCCGCACGATTGTCATAGGTAGATGCGACTCCAGAGGCGCTGAACAGATTGAGGACCGAGTTTTCGAACCGAAACTCGTATCCTTTCTCAATAATCTGCAAAAAAGCAGATGTTGATCGTCAGAAGAGAGAAAAAACCTTGTTCGAATGGATGAAGAGACTGGCTCCAAGTTTTGTGCACAGCTCCTTTCTCGCCTTCGTTTCTTCCTCTAAAGCTCTCTCAGACTTGTTTCAAGTATATTTGACTATCATTGATTCCGTGTGAAATCTTCACTCGAAGTGGTCGCTCTCGTTTTGAGGCTTCCACCTAGAGCACGGTCTCCGGGCTCCAGCTACCACATCCGCTACATTCTGAGCTCGTCAAGGCGCAACTGGATGAACTACGCGCAGAAGCACGGGGCGAAGGACCGTATGACCATGCTTTCAACTCTTTCGACTACACGTTTGGACTTCTAGTTCGCCAAAGGCGGTTGTTCGTTATAGCTTTTAAAGTTCTTGTTCACCGCCAAGTCGATTACATCAGACTAAAACAACAAAATAAATGATTTGGTTTGATCATTCGCAGAACTATTTATTCAAATTTATTTACCACCGCAAAAAAAGTTTTAAAAAAACGTTTTTAATCAAACTCTGGCAGGATTTATTAGCTAACAACTTTAAAATTGAAATTCGATATTTTTAAAAAATCTCGGAGAACTGCACACCCCTGAATACGAACAAACCGATGGCTTTTTTTGTGTTCGGCGACTTTTTTTCTTCAAACAGTACGCCAACTTTGACGGCTTTGTTTTCAACTGTGCTGAAAGAAAAACAAGTTTCTGATGTATCAAAAAACTTCCTCTGAGAAGACTCGCCTTCCTCAGTTGATTTGTCTTTTTTGGAATTTTTCGAGATGTGCGGAGGGAAATTAGTGCAATATTAATATTCAGAACCCACTTTTTGATACTGACGGCTGTTTCCGAGGTTGTTGGAGAAAGACCCGTGTTAGTGCAAACGATTTTCTTGTTCAGCACTAGAGAAAGAGGTAGCGAGCTGAAATCAATCGGAGTAACCGAGCATTTCCTTCTTCTAAGGGTCCGATTTTTGCAAAGTAGGTATACAAGGCAGATGAATTGGGGACTGTCCATACCTCCAAACGATCTTGAGCTGATGTTCAATCTGCTTAGATTCATTTTCGATGGGAAAGCGCACGCGAATTTCGCCCAACATGCTGTTTTTCCTGGAACCACGCTATCAATGTTTGATTTTTAAGATGTATGCACGTGATGAAATCGTGTTCAAAAGCTCCACGAAGTAAGTAAAACGAGTCCGGGTAGCTGATTTGGCAGCTCAAAAGAAGAACCAAGGTTTCAAGGGAGAAACTGCAATCAAAAAATTAACCGTTCGGATTCACTCCCACGTTCTCACACTTTTATGAAGATTTTTCAATCGGTCTTAGCTTTTTTTCAAAAGAGCAATAAGTCATTCAGGAGGATATCAGCAGCTACTGCTTATCTATTCCAAAATCAATCGGCGTAGGCTAATCTGTGGTCGACTACCATCTCTATTTTACCTGTATATCATATCGACTAGGTATCTGGATACCATCACTACCCCACATATGCTACCGCTCTGCTCTGTTAAACTGTTTTTCAACGTTAGCTGGGGAACTACCGCTGATTAACGAACGCCGGTGGACCAGAGACTGTGGTGAGAGAACAAAATCAAATCGAACCTTCTGCCGTCACAATAGTTTCCCAGAAAAGCATAACGGGTATCAAAAGGCCAGCCGCACTTCTGGAAAAAGACTCCATACAGTGGAAATTTCTACTACGAACAAAAGAACCTGGAAAATTTGAAGAAGGTCCCCGAAATGACTTCTCAGGTCTCCACAAAGCACTACCGGACCATTCAATTCCACCACACGATCGACATTCTTCAGCGACTCCTGAAGACTTACTCTGTTTTTTTTTAAATTACAAGTAAACCGTGGAATTGAGGAGCAGTTCGTGAAGAAACTGAAAAGAATATCCTTGCTCGCGGACGCCGCCTTCACAATGATCTCTCACAACCTTCTCGTAGTATTCTTTCTAACAAGAGCGAGTATTAAAAGCCTCTGGAACTTACTCGAGAGCAACTTTTTCTGAATTCGTCAACTTGCGATCGGAGCATATTTGGAAATGACACGTTGTATAACAAGCAATTCCTCTGCTAACAAAACAGTTTTTATTCAGGAAGAAATGAACGCGTAAATTTGAAACCAAGGAGCCAGGGGGCCGCTTCGTTGAGAATGTTGCGGGAATGAGATCTTTGGAAAACAACTTCTTCATCTTGATTTTATTGCTCGTCGAACAAACTTTCAATAAGATTCGAAAAATTACGAGGACAAGGTTATTCTACAACAGAAAGAAATTATTATGAAGATAAAAGATGGTTTCGTAAACACTTCAGTATACCAGAGTGACGTGGATGCTCATACTTTCAAGAACGAAAGAGACTAGTAGAAATCATCAATAAAACTTGTTCGAATTTCGAAAATCTAAAAAAACTAATTTTGCTCATAACTTCAAGCCACAGCGATGCCACAAAAATCTGAGGTGCCAAGAAAATGCTCGAGTACTCAGACAAAGCAAACCGGAATCCCGGAGAGTCGTTTAGAGTTCACTTTCGCGACATTATCCCTTCTACGTTATCACTAGATCTCTATCTATAGAAGGGAGCCTGCTTCAAAATTCGGAGGGTGTGGCTACTTTTTAGAATTCTAAATTTTTGTTTTAATTTCACAATCACTTTTTCAGAATGCGTATAGTTATAGATGAAGTGTGCAAAAATTCAAATATTACCTTTATGAGAAATACAAACGAGATTGAAAAGAAAATTTTTGGAAAACTTAATAGTCTTCTTTTTCGGGAAAATCAGACTTCAAACTGTTTCTATCATGAGAAAATGTGTAGTTTTCAGCCTTTGAAACCCTCCTCTTGACAAAAAAACACCCCTTCAAAACTTTGAAAATTTGAAAAAAGCCTCCATAAAAAACTCTCAGGACAAACCGACTTTTCCAGCAATCCACGGCTCTGAAACGTTCGAAGAACTTCCGGTTCACATTACGTATCTGAGAAGCTCAGAAGATCTCAATAGAACAATTTCCTTTCTCGGCACGTTTCTTCTTCTCAACTTTTAATTTTTTTTTTCCTTTTTAAATTTGAAAGTTTTCGAAGTTTTAAGGAAAAATAAATTCATCATTAAGATCGACAATGAAAATCCTGTCGGGGTTTGTTTTTCTCAATTTCATTATAGCCTGTCCAGATTTTAAATGACAAGTGCAATGACGTCATTCGAAAACGCTCTGTGGACGGCTCGTCCTCTGATTGGTTTATCGCGCCATTAGGGGCGTAGCTTGAGCGATAACTTGAAATTCAAAACCTGGATAGACTATAAAAAAAAGTTATCAGTTTACATTGAAAAGTTAGACTTCAGAATTTCAGAAAAAAGAAAGGAAGAAAGTACTCTCGTAAGTTTTTCAATATAAAGAAAATAGGAGATGGCTAGGGGAATTATTCCCCTGAGAAAACTGGACGGAGATCTTAAAATCAAATTGAAGAACGTGTACTATGATGAGTAAGAGATCAATTATGGGATAGAGGGGCATTTTGCACTATTTCTTCAACACCGTATGGATAAACAGGAGTTCAAAAACAAAGTTTCTTGAGGATTAACGAATTATATACAACACTGTCATGAGAGAAATGAGAACAAAAAACTCAATTAATTAAAAATTGATGCTAGGGAAGATTTTTTCCAATTTGTGCAATAATACTATCACTGAAGAACTTTAAGTAGAGTGGAAGATAAGACGAAAAAAAGGAAAAAAAAGTCGCGGATAGTTCAATATAGAGAAAAGGTAGTACGTATTATGCGTTAGAACAAGAATAAAGATTGCCGAAATTCCACTTATAATCCTTTTTTGGCTCTTTAAAAACAACTAATTAAAAGTAAAAAACTGAAAACGATAGATAATGATAAAGAGGAAGAAGAAACAAAAACACGAGCGGCAACCGAGCTCCAGGCGTTGAAGATCATAAGAGACGTTCCATCAGTTCGAGTTCGCTCGTCGACTCCATCGGAGGGATGAGGTTGTAATGGAACTTCTGAATCTTGCTTTGCATCTCCCAAAGAGTTCAACACAATGGAATAACGGAGAATAGGCTTAGAAATTATAAAACTTATATTACATACTTTCCGACTTCGTTCCGCCAATGACCAAATTCGAATTATTCCCTACTTTTGGTCAGTTCTGAGAGAGTTCTCAAAGAAAACCTGCAGAATATTCAGAGAAAGTGCAAGTGAAATCAATTTTCTGAGCAAATCAGAGTGCAGACTAAGTGCCAAAGCGAAGGAACCAACGGACTTACTGGCTTCATCGACTGACGCGGCCTGTTGAGTTTGTCGCAGCGGCAGTCGGGCGGATTGCAACACGGCGTCAGCTGGAATCTCATTGTTTCCAAGAATAAACGGAAGCCTCACCTTTTTGTCGAACTTGCCGAGTTGGTTGGGCACAGGAACCAGGGAATGCTTGTGTTCTATCAAGATGTCGGTCGCCTTCAGACGCACCTGAAGCTAGTTAATTTGAAATTTCTTTCACTGGAATTGGGCAAACTCTGTTGGTTTCGTCGTTGTTCTGCAGAGGATATAGCTCGTAGGGATCTCGAATAAGGTCAAAGACGAGTGGAGGAGAGTGCTTCTTCAAGGATTCTTCGGGACACCATTGCGAAACGTACCTCAAACACTTTTTTCCGGCTTGTAAGAAACTATCACCAACCAATCCTTCTTGGGTTTTCCGTTGGGACAGAGAATGTCCAATTGGGGATCGACTGTGCTGTTGAGGAAAATAGGGGAAGTTTTATAATGTATCTGGAACGAGGGATTAGGAAGGTTTCGGAGTCAAAGAAAGTACTTTGTAGTTGCCCAAACGAATGGCCATTAGGTGAGAGTTGCAGTAATAAATGATGGGTCTGCGCTCGCCAAGGTAGCCGGCGTCCTCCTTGCTGTCGCCTTGCAGCTCTTGCAGGATGTTAGTGCCATCCAACGGAAGTTGAGGTTTACCCTGAGCAAGGGTACGAATTGAGGCATACGTATGGTATTTGTACAAAAAAACAGTATTTCATCACATATATAATACATTTTTTTGTCTATCTATAGCCAATGTGTTCTTGATTATTACTCAATCTCTCCCTTAAAGCCGATAAATAACTTATTCTCCTTTTTTTACTTCCGTTTTTTTATAAACCTTATTCAAATTAAAGGTTTCTATGAATAGGTGCCAAAAAAATTAAAATTTATTTCGTCGAATCCAGGGAAGATACTATGCGGTAAAATCAAAATAATTGTGTTTAAATTTATGTTATTTTAATTATCTTTTTATTAGAATGTGGAAGTTTTAAATGTATGTCGTATAATTTAGAAAAAGACTTTGAAACGAACATCGAAGGGACACTTTTGAATGTCGCGGAAGGTTTTGTACAGGTCCATGCTGGACAGAACTTCGTGAGAAACTCTGCCGGCGCGAACGGTTCCAGGTTGCCAGGCAATGAATGGAATCCGAAACCCGCCTTCGTAGCTGTTCGACTTCCCCCCTTGAGAGTTCCGAACAGATTGAGTCAGAACTTCTAAACGCCTACCTTTGAGTCCGGCTGTCGATCCTCCATTGAGACAAAGTTCAACGTGAGGCCCGTGGTCCGACATGAGTATGACCAGAGTGTTTTGAGCGATTCCGTTGTCTATCAGAGAGTCCAGAACTTGGCCCACAGCCCAAGACATTTCATTTATCGAATCCCCGTAAATTCCTGACAACAGGTTGTTAAACTTTTCTTTTTTCGAAACAACCTCTCACAGAAGTACCACGAAACTTCTTGCTGGCAAACTGAGTACTATGGACTTGAGGAAAGGAGAAATAGAAGAAAAAAGGCCGCTCGTGTTGATCCTGCAATGAATCGGTTCCGAGAGACGAAATGAGTCTTCACCTCGCGAATCCGAGCCTTCAAGAACCTTTTCCAGTCGTGCATCAAGTTTTCCGTCATGTGCTCGAACTGCATCGGCTGTTGTACTATCTCGTCTCCATCATAAAGGAAACACATCGAGGTGTCTGGTTCGTCATTGTAAAACTCCTGAAACGTTTCTCCTTGGGTTTTCAGTTAGGAAGAATCAGGATTGAACTAAAAGATGATGAAATCAAAGTTCATTGGAACCGCGATTTCAGAACGGGTTTTTTAAAGCCAATTTTTTTAAAAGCCTATTTTTTTTTCCTCTCTAAAATTTTTTCCAGGAGGATGTCACCGTACATGGAAAACTGCGGTACACTTTTCATACAAGTGTTTTCCTGCAGCACAGAGATCAAAAAATAATTCAAAAAGTTGAATCACATGCTTTTTCGGATCGCAGCAAAAAATTATACCGTACTCTGTTTGTGTCGCACTGCCAGACATTTGTGAAAGGCAAGTTGACGCCGACAAAATCGAAGCCGCGTCGAGAAGGCAAATGTGCTCCATCCGACGAATTTTTCTCGTTAATCCCGAGATGCCACTTGCCGACCATGCCGGTAACGTATCCTACAGAAAAGAAGAGGTCAGAACCACAAAACGACTCTCGCACCGGCTTGTTTCAGCATTTCGGCCATGGTGGTCTCTTCTTTGGGAAGTCCGCCGATGTCGTATGGGAGGAAGACACGCCGACCTCCGACGACTCCTAGCCGGATAGGAAGCCTTCCTGGAACCAAGGTCATAAAACTTCGAAAGCGATTGAAGTACCGGTCATGAATCCTGCGCGACTGGGGCTACACATGCTGTCGGCTGAGTAGGCCTGCGTGAACCGCGTTCCTTCAGCCGCCATTCGATCTACTTCTGTGTACTCTTGCGTCGGGTGGCCGTACGACGCAATGTCTCCGTATCCTGGAAGCTTAAGGTTCAGTCGGAAACAATGAGTATGAAGTTTGAAAGAGAAATAATTGAACGTCAATCCAAAATATCAAGTTACCTTCTTGAATGAGGCGCCTAGTCTTCCTAAATATTCAAAAATAGAATTCTGTTTATCTAAGGAGTTTATGCATCATGTAATGATCATCGAGCAACGTCGACACAACTTCATTGAATATTCAAAATGAATCTCAGCATCTGGAAGCTGATAATCGAGTCTATCAAATGTCCGTTTGAAAACCGAACTAACCCAAGTCGTCAATCATGAGAATGAGAATGTTGGGATGCTCCGGAGACGGTGGCCGGACGCATCGCGCGGACGTCGAGGTCATCAATCCCAGAGAGATCAAAACGGTCAGCATCCTCCGTCCTGCAGCCTATCTCCTTTCAAAAAAAGAGAAAAATATAAAGTTGAGCTTTTCGGAAACCAAGTCATACGGAAAGTCTTAATTGGTCAAAAAAGCGAGAATTCTCCGCAAAATAATGTTGAGGTGGCATCGGAATAGTCAAAAGTTTCAGAAGGGACCGAAGAAAAAGACGCCACTCGAACAGCTTCTGTCTTCGTAGCGGAAGCCACGCTGATAACTGATAATTGTTTGTTGTTCCGAGGGGCGTGGCTTGTCCTCGGGACTTCCTCCTCTCCACGCAGACTTTAATTCCTTGCAGGTTTCACTTTTCTCGTCACGTTTTGAATCCAATGTCTTTCGTTAGTGACTCGTTGAAATCCCAACTTCAGAAACATCAAATCTTGTCAGTTAAAACTTCCGTGTGGTTACAGTAATTCTCAGACAAACGAGAGCTGAACTGAGAACCTTCCCAGCTGAAACCATTTATTTTGTTTGAAATCCAAGGAAATTTCGAAAGTACAATTCTGATCGACATTAGTTGGTTGAAAACAGTTAGATGGAATAGCAAGACCTACCGTAGCCAAGGTGACTCCTTGAAGTGTGGCGAGAGATTCGAGTGCAACGAAAGAAATTTTTTTATCTAAAAATAATAAACGTGAAACAGTATGAAGACTCGAAAACAAGAAAACGAGACTGAGTAGATAAACCAAGTAATTGAGGTGGATGACGATAGAACAAGGATGACAAAATGAGAAGAGAGCAGAGGTGGAGCCAATTAACGGCCACGTAACATCCGTAGATTCTCGATTCCCAGATAATTAATTAATCGTAAGCTTTTAAAACGAAAAACAAATCAACTTCTGCAAACTTCGCAAATCAAACATCTTGATCCTTTTAATTTCATCAAAAGAAAGTTTCGAGGTAAAAAAAAAAGCTGTCTCAATCAATATGACCTTCGTGAGCAGAGACCGAAAAGGCTCGGGAATAAGAAAATTGAGTCCAAAAATGATCCGTTGCTTCTCATATTCATCATCAGAAGAGATTCCAAACTTTTCAGTAGGGATTTGTGGACGATTCCTACTAACAGGAGCAGCAATTTAACTCAAAAAAATAACCTTTTTTTCTTATTTATATTTCATGAAACTTATTGACATGTCTGTTTTTTTGTATATTTTTTTCCGAGAATTTTTGAATTAGTTTTTTTCTCCGGGAAATGATGGGAATCAGGAAAAAAATGGGGACCACGTGTCTGTTTTTTTCAAGCATAGAAAATTAATTACTTTACGAACTAATCTTTATTAGTGTAACACGGTTTTTTTTTTTAATTTCGTGGAACGAAATAAAAAAGAAGAACATGAGATTAGAGAAACACAGGTCACCGTTTGAATTTTTCCAATAAGAATATCAGAAGGGAACTGAAGAATGTGGACGAGAAATCTTCGCGCTTCTTTTGGGAAACGGCACGTACAAACTGTCTCACCAAAATTATATTCAAAACCGGAAGAAACACGTAGACTGATCCCCACTGAATCGGGAAGGCGCATTCCGATGAAAGTCCAAGAAATCTTCTCGTACTGTTAAATTGAACGAGCAAAAAAAGAATGCTTATGGAATCAAACTGAGCTTTTTTGTTATCTACTACTTTATTTTTAATTTCAGAAGAGACCCACCAAACTTCAAGTAAGTTTGTCATCAAAATTTCGAGACTCCATCATCAAAAATATGAATTTTCCTTCGAAATTTTCAACTTTTTGACGTTCGCCTTTAGGACTTCGAAATGAAAAGTGTGGGCACGAGTACGATAGTCGAAGCCCCAACAGAAGACGCTCAAGAGCCAGATAAACGCTATTTTCGGCAGAAACCTCTGTAATCAAAAGAAACCTGGTTTTTTCGATTTTTGAAACCTACGCAGCTAGAATAATAGGATTTTGGCCAACTCAAAGTCCCAAGTTTGTAGTGGAGCGGTGGTTGGTTTCCATTGCAAATCATTAAAAAGAGAATGTAGTGCCTTAGGCGCGCAATTAGCCTCATTCTCGCTACAAAATCGAGCGATTCGACAGTGGAGCCTCGACGAGTTCGAAACCTTTTCCATTATCACAAACTCGAATCCTATCGAAGGTTCTGATAGGTTCGAATATGTGATGGAAGGCCACTTTTTTTCAAAAAAACTAAACATAAATAAAAAAAAAGAACCTTTTGCAGAAATTTATATAGCGCCAAAAACAAGTACACATAAAGTAAATGTTTGTTCAAATTGTCACTGTTTGCCTGGACGCAATCCGTAAAACAAGGAATATTTGCCATGGTTTTCAAAAGTTGAAAGTTCTAAATACTTCAGGGGACCCAAATCAAACGGGGCTCACGGTTTTGTCCGAATGTGAGTAGAAAATGAAAAAAAAAACATATGGAAAACAATCAGCGATGCGAACGAAATTCTTGGGATCCAAAAGATCTCTGCCCACAACCCATTTCTCATCGTTCGTTATGCGTGATCTCAATGACCAATCATCAAAGATTGAAAGGTTCTGGCCACCCGATTGACTGATAACCTTGATGAAAAGCTTGATAACTATAAAGAACTTGACACCATCACAGCTCTGAGAAAGTTCGTTTGGTTCCGCTTTTTGTAGACTTCAGTGACTGGAACAAATAGCGAAAACTACTACCACCAAACCAAGTTGGGACATCCTGCCAGGTATCCGCAGGGCGAACCAGTAGAAAGTGTCACATCCGTACGAGAAAACAGAAAAAAAAAAATTATAATCTTCGTAATAATTGCAAATTCTACTGCTGGGTAATGAGAAAGAAGGAGTGAAATATGAATAATGTCACAAAGAATTACGTGGGCTTTTGGATTCAGAGCCGCATCTGCGGCTTCGAATATTAGGCGACTCTAACAGAATCTCTCAAATGCTTTTTCTTTGCTTTGAACAAAAGTTCCTGGTTCAAGTTTACGGAGGTCGTTAAAGATTTTAGGAAGCCCTAAAACACCGCTTTCAATCATTTTGAAGAGATATTCGCCTCAAAAAAATCATTTAGTAGGCGCTGTTACGAATAAGAAAATAAGAATGAGACTTATTATACGAAAATTAGTTCCGTTTCTGGAAATACCGAGAAAGTTGAAAAAACTGTCCACAAAAAAGAAACAAAGCAGTTAATTGGCGAATGTCCCTGATTTTCGATACCTTGCAACCGTAGCGACAATAAAAAAGGTGAAGGAACCACAGGAAGGACCTCACGTGGATGACGAGAAGGGAACACGTACGTCGAAAGTGGTACGAGCACGCGTCGAAATGGAAAATAAAGATTCGTTCTAAACAAGCTCGTCTTTCCACGCAGGATTTTTGCGAGTGGCCTCACCCAGGACTCGGAAAGACCAAGTCATTAAAGCTCGAGCACAAATGATCGACTGTTTTTTTTTAAAGATGAGATCGAAAGTTTAAGACCTAAAAAAACCTATCTCGGAGAAAGAAATAGTTGAGAATCAGCTTTTCGGAAAAAAAAAACTGTATGAATTCTGCGATTAAATGCAAATTATGTGCTTCATTAATTAAACCCGCTAAAACAAATTTCAAGATGCAAATGAATGCGAAAAATCCGAAAAAATGACTAACTCAAAAAGCGCTTTTTTCAATTTATTCTGCATTTGCTGGTCTATGAGCCTTCTTTCATTCAAATCAATCAGATAACCAAGTTTCTGAATGAAAAAAAAAAAGAAAAAATTTGGAAAGGAGAAAACGAAAAAGTAGGCGAACTTGTAGTTCTACGAAAACTGCGTTCTTGGATACAAAACGCAGGGCTTCCAACCGGTGTCGAATCAATCAAATTTTGCTTTTTTCAAATTAAAGTTAGGGTTCAGGAAAACTGAAGTACTAGGTTTACCGCTAATTTAGGCCTTAGGGAACTAGGCTAATAGTCTTAGAGAGATTTTGAATGATTCATGTTTTCTAACTAGCAAAATAGGGAGCGAAAAGGGATTTTAAGAAACTTACTGTAATTTTTGGTTTTTAAGAGACAAGGCTGTTCTGGATTTACAGTATGTTTCAGATGTTGCTGAACAATACGTAGTCAGTTAAAAAACAGGGCTTCGGATGAAATGTTCAAAGAATAATGGTCGAAAAAATCGGGTTAGAAAAAATCGATTGGATAGGACGATTAAATGGACCGATAAGCGCGGATCAGTGGTTTGGCGTTTTCGCTTTTTGGGCAGATAAGAGTGGGGCTAGATGGCTTATCTTCGCACTTCTGCCGCTGAACAGCAAGTACGTCAGTCTTTCCTTCACCTTTTTCGGCTAGTTCGGAGCTCTGAACTCTTTGAAAAACGCGATATGTGGAAAACATTGCTCAAAAGATAATTAATACGTCATTGATCTATGACATGTTTGTTTTCATGTAGCACAGATGAACTTCTGCGATTCTTTGTTGTCTGTAGGTTGAATAAATTTATTTAAAGCACGCAATGCGTGAATAGAACTGAATTTGGAGTAAGCTGAATAATAAACCTTCGGAGTCAATTTTTCCAGAATCGGTTTCAAAATAGGAATTATTTACCTATACACTGAAAAAATTTTGAAAATAACTGTTTCTGAAAAGTGTTTCAAGCAGATATGATTTGCGAAAACCTAGTTCTACATGACGTGGATATGTTCACGAGGCCTTGTCTCATTTTTCCCGACATTTCTCGCATAAAGTAAAATGCAGAAAAAAAATAACAAAGGTGAGCGCGTAAATCTTACGACTACGGTAGCTTTGAATTTTACGTTACCCGTTTTCTGACTAAGAATACACTAAAACTTTTCAAAAAAACGCTTTCATTCAGTATTTTTTTTTATTTTTTAAATATTTCTACTTTTTTATCATTATTCTCAGACGTTGATTAAAACCGGAAGCTGGAGCAAAATTCTGGAGCAAAATTGAATTGGAAATAGCAGTCACACCTGCTCAATGCGTCCGACCCCAATACTGGCGAAATTCCCTATATTGATGTTTGCAATTTTTAGCAATTTTTTTTTTAAACAGTTTGCATTTTTTTTTGGATAGATTAGAATTTACTGTACTTATCGTGGCCTGACTATTCTTCTGATCTCGAGAGATCGGCTCTGAACAGAGTTTAAAAAGGAAACTGAACTAAAAAAATTCCTGCATCTAGAATAGATGGTGCAACATCGGCCACCACAGCGCTGATATGAAATTCCTGTCGTGGCTTTAGATTCTCGAAAAAGTTCCCGTTATTCGCTTCCTCAAATCAGTTACAGAAAACATGAAAGTTCTCTGCGAATTTCTTAGCATTTGTAAGTCGTGTAAGGAAGCGAATCTGTCCATTAAGTTCAAACTCACAGAGCGCATGGTAACTCATTTAATCCGCTTGCTAGGCTTTTTTCACTTTCTCGAAAGTAAGCAAAGTTTATAGAGCGACTATTTGCGAAGCGTTTCGAGGAACTTGACGACGTTGTGCAAAGCCTCCTGGTACTTCGAGCCATCGGGCAGGACCTGCTTCCCGACAGACTGAAAAGAACATTTCCTTTTGAATCTCAGCCGTTGAACCAACCAGACACATGTCATAGTGCTTGGCGGCAAGACTGAACGACTTCTTCGCTTCTTCGACTTCTCTCTTCACCTTCTGATTGTTTATGCTCTGAAAGAAACAAAAATGGGTATCACGCGCTGGGAAAAAGAAGAAGTACTACGAGAGCCCTGAGTTTCCAGAACTGATAACCTCGGTCTCGTCCTGCCGACGGAGAAGGTCCTCGCGTTGCTGAAGACGACGTTCATGCTCCTCGACGCGTTTTTGTTTCAGACGTCGAGCCAAAGGCGAACTGTTATAAAAATCATTAAAAAAAGAAAAAAAAAACTGTCAAGTTTTCGACAAACGTAAAACCTGCATAAAAAGTACAACTCAAAACAAGAAAATTTTCAAACTAACAGTTTTCTCTGAATGAAAAATTTTAAAAAAAAATTAAAGTTTTTTTACACTTAAGTGTTGTAACAAGTACTTGTAATTGTTTAAACTTTCTCAAATTTGAGTTTGTAATCACATCACTGAAGTGTGCGAAGTTGTAGCAAGCTTTCTTTTCCCGTCAAATTTCGCCTTTACAAAAAATAAATATTATAGCGTTTTACATGTGAAAGTGCGACCTGTCTGATTCGTACTTGAGAACCTACTTCAAATCAGTCTGGGCCTGCCCGTCAGCCTACCGGAACGGCCCGGCCCAGCCCTAGCAAGGCCTCAGCAAAAATGGCGAGCCCTGCCCAGAATGCTCGAACTTTCTTCAAGTCAAATATAGTGAATTTTTCCCCCACTTCAAAGGGCGGGCAACGGGGTGGGACGCGTAGCGTGTGCGTTCGCGGTTCTTGGCACGACTTCCATTCAAGCGTCACCGACTATTTAAAAAGCTCGGTCACCGCTCTTTTTGTATTTATTCCTTTTTGATGCAATGATGTGGCATTAAATTGAACTCGTGCCAAAAACCACGTACGCACACGCTACGCGTCCCGCCCCTTTGCCCGCCTCTCTCGCCTTTCAAGTGGGGGAAAAATAGACTATATCAAGCTTTTTTACGACGAAACTCTTGTTTTTTTGTTTATTTTTTTCACTTCGAGTTCAACAAAAAAATATGATTTAACTAGTAAAAAAATATTTTCAGCGAACATTTTTTTAATGAAATTAAAAAAATTTTTGGGCCTGGCTCAAAAACCTTGCTGGTTTTTTCTCAAAAAAAAAGCCCGGGTCAGGCCGGCCTAAACCACAGGCCTCATCAAAATTAGCTTCTCAGAAAATTATCACCGTCTTTCGCTGTCGCCTCGAACTCCTTTCGATTCAGACGGCGCTTCTTTGTTTTGTGCACTCGCAGTTCGACTATTTTTCGTAGTCTGTAAATTCATAGGATAAAGAATGATGGAAACCTAACAAGAAACGTGTTTTTTTTTGGACCGATTCAAAGAAGAAGAACAAACAATTTTACTTCGGTTTCTCACGAATGTATATATTATAGTGGTCTTTCAAATTTTTGTTCAGGTTTCAAAGTTAAAAATAAGTGTTCACCAGCGTGTTCACCCAGAGGGGTTACTAACTGAAACGTCTCTAGAGAGCGCTTTTGTAAGTTTGAGAGCCCCAATAAGGGAGGCAGGGTGCCCCCTGGAGGGGAATTTGCATGAGCCCTTTGGTAACCACTCTGGCGTTCCTAAGAACGGTGAGCGGAACTACCCGCCCCGCGCCGGGATTCCAATGACAGATTTTTCAAGTTTTTATCAGCCACTGTTCTCAGAACCAGCTTTGCCACTAATTGAAAAAAAAAACGTTTTAGGATGATAATTTTCAAAATTAGATAGATCCTCGCAGGACTTTCAATAGACGACCTCGTCTTCGTTGCCGTCTCCCGACGGCTTCTGAGCGTCTTCCGACTCTTCGAAGGTCCACTTGCGGAACACCCTGAAATCAAGTTTCCTCCAAGGATGATTGAACATAAGGTCAACTGTTTCTCGCGCTCGTATTCGTGCATCGTCACCATCGTTTGATTTCGGCCTTTCGATGTCTTAAAAGAAACCATCGAATTTGATTGTGCAATAAGAGCTTGATATATCTTCCTGGTTTTTGAGAAACATTTTCTACTAATTATAAGGCGACAAATTTGAACTACTGAAGTGGAAGCTTTGGATGATTATTAAGTTACATTTAAAAGATTTAGTTTTACGCCGTATTAGTAAATAGTTCCAGAAATGGAGGGTTGGGGAAGGCAGCCTTTGGAATGACAGCCATGCCGAGCCTTCTAGTCATGAGATAGAAATGAGCCAGGAAGTTAGTCTTTAGCAACTAGAACGTGACGACAACGCCCTGAATATTTCGATTTCCTACATTTTCAATTTTATTATTTTTTGCAAGTTTGTGTTGACGTTTTTGACATGCTGCAACAGAAATTTCAGCAGGAAATTTTCACTGAAACAGATAAGTGAAGTACATTTTCAATCTCAAAAACATATATTTAGGCGAAAAAATTTGATTTTTCCTTGCAAGGATGAAATCTCG